AAGAAAGATTGTCTTAAAGTGTGTTGTTTCACCCCGTCCAAGTGTGGCCAGAACCAGCAGTTCTGAACACTTTCGTCTTTAGACAAGATCAGAAAAGATGTTGTACAAACTAGTTTGCTCTGATTATACCCTGGCCTTTACACCTAGTCATATTTGCAGTTTTAATTTAAGTATTATGAGAAATTCTCTATCCATCCACTGATTGTACCCGCTTATCCTGTGCAGGGTCATGGGGGGCTCTGGCCTCTCCTAGATCACACTAGCCCTTTTTAGATAGGAATTGTGCAAATTTGCGGGAAAGCCCAATCAGTCTTCTTTCAGTATTGGCAGTATAAAAACGGGGAGTGCGGCAAAATGCCGCCTACCTACTTTTGGTTATACAGAATGCGCCTTTTCCGGGGCAATGGTGGGGTATGAGCAAGTAAAAAAATGTGTAGCTCAGCGTATGACGTAAAAAGTGACGTAGGAGGGAAGCTGCGGCTAGTCAGTCCTTCGTCGATTCTCTCGTAAGTTGGCCCGTTCTTCAATGTCCCCATCATCTGACGGTTAATGGCCTCTTTGTTTGTGAGGGCAAGGAGGGCGCACAGTTCGTTGTCTCCCCAATTGCTCATCTTTAGTGTAGTGTCTGTCAGGTTTGTGTTTCCCTCTTGCTACTAGCTGCTCGCTAATTCCTGCTATCAGCTGTTTCCTGTTTATCCACCAATATATACGCTATGAGGCGGAAAACTGGGCACCTCGGATCAACCTGCCAATCTGGCTCTGTGTGTCTAAATGCATGCAGCTTGCTGGCAAAACAGCCCAACATTCAAGGAAAATCTGGCAGTGTAAAAGGGGCTATTGGTTCTTCTGCTTTAAAATGGGCCATGCATTTCTGAGCATGCACATACGTGCATAATGTATGTGTTTAATTTTGCCAGCCTATGCTTATGCCAAGTCTTCTGTCCTGCCTTGAGATCAGTCAGTCAACCAGTGAATCAGTCAGTCATCTACACAACCAGCCGGCCAGTCATTCAGACAGCTAGTCTTCTGAAGTGTGTGTCCTACCAACCCAGTTTCCTGTCTCTCTGGGTGTCACATGTTGTCAGACCAACAGCTGAGAAACAGCATGGCATTCCCACTAGAGTCGCCTCACTAGAGCACAGCCCGTTCCTGTAACATATCACCTTAAAGCAAGTTCATTCACAAAGCGCAGCGCACCATCTGTGGAATAAGCCACCTGTCACCAATGTGATGTGGCTAATTGTTCACAGGTGCACTTAGTTTTACATTATTTACTAAGCCTGAGATTTAGTAGTGTAATCAGAAAGATCAGGAGGAATGCACACACAATTTCAACAAATTAAAAGGATGACAGTAATGAACGAATGAATGTCATCACAAGGAACAACGATCTCAAAACTTCAATAATTTAGTTAACGAAAACTTGATCTGAGGCTGTACGTCCACACTGTCACACCCTGTTTACGCTGTCTGTCTTGTGTGCCGTTCTCCTCTGCTCTACTCCAAACCACTCTCTTCCTGTGTCTCACCTTGGTAGTGAGGATGCAGATGCAGTCCATCCTCACCAGTCCGACTGGCAAACTTTCACTGAAACATCTTCCAGCTGCAACTTCCACCACTCAAGCTGCTTGTTGCTTTTAGTGACATCCTTCTGCCGTTTGTCTGTCTCTGTCTCCTCCTTCTCACCCTCTTCTTTCATCCCTCAATCTCTCTCTCCTCCCTTTCTCATGTCCTCTCCACCTGTCCTTTCATTGGAGCAGCCAGAGAGGACTTCTCCGCTAAAATACAGGCCGACTCGGAAACATGGCAGCTGTCCCGGTGCACCTCCACCCGCCTTCTTGTTTTCCAGCTGCTGTCTTCCGTTTTATGGCAGCTGGTAGCCACATTTTGACCTCAAAGAGTGCATGGCTCAGAATATATATCCGCACACACGCAGCAGAGCACACTCAGCACACACACAAAAAAAATGCAAACATGCAGAGACAGGCGTAGAAACGCATACACATGGATGCACAGGCAAACACTCACACAGACAGACGTGTATACACAGACATAAGCACACACAAATACTTATACTACACACACACACACACACACACAAACACACCACTCTCTGCTGTTTTATCAGGTCAGTCTCTGGCAGGAGTGGGGGGGTTAGTCTGAGTGAACAATAACAGCGTTATAGCAATGGATGCTCTACTTTCAACTTTGGGTATTGGCGAAGTTAAAGCTCCATATGCACCCTGAAGCTTCACACAAAGATGGGATTTCACTCACTGAGGATACTGGGCTTCTTCTAGATATAAAACATCACTACAATTGATGTTACTGTACTATGCATGATATACAAGACCATCAGAGCAGCGAGACATAGGAAAGCTGGGTTGTACATGACTCACATCCAAATCTGTTGCAGAAAACAAACACACACACAATTTTACATGTGCTTCTGTTCCTGTCCTACTCTACTTCTGTCCAGCTCCACCCTCCTCTGGCCCTGCACTCATTGTTGGTTCTCTCATGATGCTCACTGCTGCCAACACACACAGAGTTGTCTGTCTGTCTGCACTGGGTTTTGCTAATGAACATTATTACTGGGTCTCACTTTCTTCTACAGCCATTTAATTAAATTGAAGGATAATGAGCAAAAAAAGTGTTTCATTTCATTTAAAGGGGATCTATTATGCTAATTTTTAAGAACACATTTGTATTTTAGGTTTCTACCGCAGCATGTTAACATGGTTAAAAATGGTTAAAAAAACACTTTATTTACCTCATACTGTCTCTGCTGGAACTGGGTTCACCCTCTGTCTAAGATGCTTCTTCATTTTAGCACCTGTCTCTTTAAGCCCCTCTGCTCCACCCCAAAAACACACAGCCTGCTCTGGTTGGTCAACATTTCAGGGTCTTCCATAACTCAGCATCTCTACACCCTCTCTACAACTGCAGCCATGAAATGACTGTAAGAGTATAGCAGCACTTTCCCTAATAAAAACCAAATACCAATACAACCAGACATATTCCAGCAGGAATGTGATAAAGTCAGGGGAAAATTAACGACATCAACAACAAAGACTACATGTTTCCCTCATGTTAGCATCAGCTACATGTAGCAGTGTACTAGTGTACTACTGAAAAGGACTAACAGAGTTTAGGAGCACTTTCTACTGTGAAAAATTACCAGGAAAAGCTTCTAAACCAAAGTCTTCAAATCCAGACATGTTCCAGCAGGAGTATGAGCCGAAATTGGGGCTAAATTAGCAACTTTGGCAACCAACCAACAAAGATTACATGTTTCCCTGACGTTAGCATGTAGCTTTATGTAGTAGTCCAGGCTACGTAATGTAGACACTTGCAGCAGTGTGCCTGGAGCACATGGCCATACAAAGAAATACATCTCAAGCTGACGTCAGCATGCCTCGAAAGAAGGAAAAAAACATTGGAAACAGAGTATTCAGAATGGTCTGAGGCTTTTTGCTTACAGGGATTATTTTTTACACACAAATACCTTATTATTTGAAACTTTGGCCAAGTTTATTATGAACATCCAATGTCGTAGCATATATGACAGAAAATGAAAAGCATAATAGGTCCCTATTAAACTTCAGTCACTTAACATAAAATTCCCTTTTTTTGTATGATAACTGACAATTGTACATCTCAAAAGAAAACTAAATCACCCCAGTGTCTAATTATTATTGGATAAATTAATTAGGAACGCCTGAGCAGCAGATATCACCAACCCCAACACAATACAAGCAGCATTTAGCTGTGAGGACAAACGTTGCCTGATGCACTGTACAGTACTGTATTGTAAACAGCTTGTAGCAGTAAAGAATGTCAATATCTGCCCATTTCCTGAGATGTGGACTCAGACGCAACAGATCAAAGCAACAATGCGTACAGTGTGTGCCTGTGGTCAGACAGCCCAAACCACACAAAATCAGTTGCATGAGTCCATCTCTGAGCTTGTTCTGCTGACTCTGCTGGAGAATAAAATGTTACTGAACTGGATTGATTCCCCTTGTCATATTATGTAATGCCATGTAAGCCAATGTTCAAACCAGCAGCCTGCATAGATCTATCTAATTCTGCTCTCTGCAGCCACCAGCAGCCTTTATACTGGCAAAAGAGGAGACATGCTGTCACCAGTAAAAGCATGTTTGCCTAAATCACAGTTACGTCCATGTAGCAGAAGTAATATGTTAGACATGAAGCAATGAATCAAGGCTAATTCTAATTTACAAAAATAAATAAATAAATTAATAAATAAAAAAAAACATGTTCTGTATTGGTGAACCAATTACCACAATTACCAGCCAAAGCTCCATAACATTTTAGAGTGGTCTGTACTCCTAAATTCTTTCTTCATAAGCTGCATCCATAAATGACAAGGCAGCGTTACACCAAATGACAAACTGTGCACAGGCAGGGAAACAAGATGTGATGTAACTCCGTGAAAGAAAAATCTTTGGAACTAACACAAATTCTGTTATCAACTAAACCTAGTCAGAGATGGTTAGAAAAATAAAGAAAAGTTTTCCAACTCTGGTTCTGACAAAAAAAAAAAAAAACAATCACGACAGCATGAATCTTGAAGCAATGTTAAGCTGGTGTTGCAGCACCACAGGTAATCATGACAAATGTTTCCACTAGCTGATAGATCTCAGTAAAATAAAACCAAATGAAAAATGAAAAAGATCAGAATATGATGAGGCAATGAGAGGACAATGAACACCACCAGGAAACCTCGGCCACTCGACCATATAAGCCTCTATACTGGGAGAATTATACAGTTCTGTACACCACAACATGGCATGCTCTCCAAAACACAGCCTCACTTCTTTTCCAGAATCAGGCAGCCCTACTGTAACCTCAAGGTTGCCACCCAGCAACTGACATCACCCACCTTCGGATAGGAGACAATATGTACTCTGCTTTCAACTGTGGAGATTTTTCCAGCAGGTTCCTTAGGCACAAAACAGCCAGAGATGTCTTACCTTGTTGGGGGTCAGTGGACTTGTCACAGGCCTGGGGCTGGCTGGACCATAGATAGGGCTAGTGGAGGTGACTTTCGGTGGCCCGGGGCTGGTTGGACTAGGAAAAGAGATCGAGGACAGAAGGTGTCTGGAGGTGAACTCTGAAAACTGTCAGTTATTATTCTGTACTGCTACACATGAACTCCCAATAGCAAACAAAATGCAGTGTTAAATCTGTCACTTAACCTATGAGACATACTGTACAGTAGATGCATTTTCATTACACAAAGCCTGACATTTAATAGTTAACAGCATCATGGGTTTGCACACGTCTTCAATTGGGTTTGTGTTTTAAATTTTGGCGTAATATTGAAGGGGACCTATTATGCTTATTTTCACGTTCATGCTTGTATTTTGGGTTTCTAATAGAACATTTACATGCTTGAATGTTCAAAGAACACTTAATTTTCCTCATGTGCTGGAACACCTGTATTCACTCTCTGTCTGAGATGCTCTGTTTTAGCGCCTGTCTTTTTAAGCCCCCCTACCGAAAAAGCCCAGTCTACTCTGATTGGTGAATGTTTCCCAGTTTTCTGTATCTCAGTATATCTGCACTGTCACTGCAGCCAAGAGAATGATTGTAACGGAGTATAGCGGCCATTTCCACCATGAAAAATCACCAATAACTGCTTCTAAACACAACCGGACATGCTCCAGCAGGAATAAGATCCAAAATCAGGGAGAAATTAAGAACATCAGGAACCAAGACAATGTTTCTCTAATGTTAGCATATGGCTACAGCAGATCTAGCAGTGTAGGCTACATAATGTAAACACATGCAGTAGTGTTCCTGTGCCAGCTGATGACCAGAAAGGAAATCTGTCGCTAGCTGACGTCAGCTTGTTGTGAAAGTAGGAAAAAACATTGGAAACAGAGTATTCAGAATGCCCTAAAACCTGGGGATTTTGCTCACAAATAAACTTTGGCCACATTTAAGAACATCCCACATTGTAACATTGTCTATATATGGCATAAAATAAAGAAAAGTATAAAAGGTCCCCTTTAATAAAAGAGCTATCATAGCTCGTAGTATACTGTGTTTTTTTTTTTTTCTCTACATTATCTTTATTCAAAGTATCAATAGACGGGATTGTGACATGAAAATGTGCCTGAAATTATTGCTCTTTTGTCCACATCTTTGGTGTTAAGTGCTAATTGTTGTAGTGTTTGCATTTAACTTCCAGAGATAATTAATCAGTTAAGTCTTAAAATATCAGTTAACCATTGCAAAGTCTGGTTTGCTAATGTATCCTACTAACAATTTAATTGCATACGGATAAAAAGCAGCGAATGGCCAGCTTACTCAGTGTAAAAGTCCATAGTACAGGCAGGCAGTCCAAAAGTGCATCCGAGGCACTCTAATGTAGGTAAAAATCCTTTATTGATTCATGGATAAACCAATGAGTTTCGATTATACATATACCAACATATCATGTGACCTCTCTCACATGATCTCTACGTGAGTTTTTAAACTTCACACCTGTTCCCAATGCATTGTATACCCTGATGAAGACTCTCTAATCGAAACGTGTTGGTTTATCCATGAATCAATAACAAATTTTTAAACTACAATCAGAGTGCCTCGGATGCATTTTTGGACTGCCCGCCTGCACTATTGACTTTTACACTGAATCAGCTGGCCAGTTGTTGCTTTTTATCCTCATGTGACTATTTGCCCTATCCTTTAAAAGCACCTGTTTTTGTACAATTAACTACACAGTGTCTTAACTCAGTGCAGCAGTCCCTGTTTTTTCCTCATTAACAGTTTAATTGTCATTTGTTGGACATACCTCAGACCTGGCCCTTTAGTCAAAGGCCCTGGAGGACCTGTGGGGCTGCGGCTGCTGAAGGTAAATTTTCCCTGGTTGGGGCTGGTTGGACTCATGCTGGGAGTCACTTTGCCCAAGTCTTGGTCCCTGTTGGTTTCAAGAGCTGTAGAGACCGGACTAGCATCTGTGACTCTGTTGAATCCGGGGCTGGTGATAGGAGTGTTACTGGTGGGGGTAAGTTTGCTCGGAGTGGTTGGAGACACTAAGCCTTGGATGGTGCTGGAGACGAGGGCTGAGACAGTCACCAGGTTGAGATCTGGAGAGTCGCTGTGTGGATTAGCAGAAGTGGTGGAGCTTCCTGAAGAAATATTGGAGTTGGTTGCAGTAAGGCGTGGCTTTGCTCCATTCAGTGAAGCTCCAGGAGGTGTTTTTATGGAGCCAGTGGGGGTTTCTACACCATTCAGTGTGACTGCGGGGGATATGGGAGAAGAGGGAGAGGCGGGCAAAGAAGTCTCCAATGCCAGTAATTTGGAGGCTCCAGGATCGACAGGAGGCAGAGGAGCACGGTACTTGACCTTTGCTGGCTGTAAGTCAGGTGCAATGGGCTGTGATGTAGGGGAAGATGGCTTTGCTGCAGGAGTCCCGGATGGGAGTGGAGCAGCATGGGACTTGACTGACTTGGGTCTAGGGGTCAGGGGTTTTGGCTGGGGTGACCCTCCAGAAGCCTGTGGGCTCAGGGGAACAGAGTGGGGCTGCTGCTGGGCTGAGAGCTCTACTGGCAGGTTATAGGAGGCAGGGGGGCTCTGTGGAACATGTGTCTGGTCCACCAAACTCTTGCTATCAGCAAGGATGGTCAACTCGTAGTACTCCTGAATGTCTGGAGGGAGAGGAGCAGAGATTGTGATGAATGACTGAGGAGTTCAGTGGATTAGTAAATGAGGTTTAAGACACACTGAGGGGATGGATAAATCTTTCCAGACATTTTTCAATCCAAGATAAGCTTCTCCAATCTAAGGATTTGCTGCTTTTTTGTTTTGTATTTTTTGTATTTTGTGAACTGAATATCTTTGGGTTTTAGACAGTTCATCGAACAAAAGAAGACATTTGGAAATGTAACATTGGACTCTGGGAAAATGTGATGAGCACTTCTCAGTTATTGACATTTTATAGACCAAACAGTTGATCGACAAAGCAGTTACTGGAAAAAATAAAGTCAGATTTATCTATAATGATCATTGGCTGCAGCCCTGTAGAGCTGTTCCAACTGAAGAAGAAACCCCTAATAACAACAGGTTATTATATATTGCATTCAAATGCGAGACAATTGAAGCCAATCATAAATGTCTCCACTTTTTTACATCTGAAATGCTTCAGGTACATTGGCAGAGAAACCAAACAAAATAAAGCTTATACACTAGTGACCTCTAGTGGCAGTGCAAGAACACTACCTCCTGTAGAGGGGACACTTCCCAAGTATTCAGGGCTGTGGAATAGTTCATTCCACAGTCATTTCCCTTTTTAGAAGTAAGCGCACAGAACATAACAGAGTGACCGTTATGATTAAAGGTTTCACTTCCTCTCCACATAAAGCACTGACAGGCAGTTCAACACTAAATCATACACATGGTTGTGAGCTCAGGCTGCCATACCAGCAAATTTTTTTGGTCATAAAAGGGATGATGAAGAGGACGAAAAACAGAGTTGGAGGTTTTGGGAAGAGGACAGGGAATATACAGACAGTCAAAGAAGAATTTCACTGCTGGAAAGCTTGTCTTTTTTTTTTTTTAAATAAAACTAAGCTGTCCACGCAGTAGAAAGATGCAACTACTGTTAACACTGGTGCTATATGACCAGAGAAAACAGAGGAAAAGGGCTGTGTCATTTGATTTTGCTCAAGAGGTAAAAAAAAAAACCCTACAATAACCAGAATGCACTGCACCACACCGTACCAATAAACACTCCCACTGATGGGTGACGGAATGTGAGTTGCTCATCCAAAAAACAATATGGCAGCTGGCTGGAAACAAACAGTCTGGGATTACGGTTAAACAGTGTGCTAAAATATGTTTCTGAAAGCACTTCAGGCAAGAAATACGACATGCAGGAACAAAATCTTGTTTTATATTTGATCAGAACTGCTTAGTTTTACTGTTTGATCTCAGATTTTCAGCTCCTGTTTCTCAAAATACAGGCTGTGCAGTACTGCGCCATCATCCCGTTCATAAACTCTTGTATTACAGCAGAACAGTACACTAAAATATGTTTCTGAAAACATGTTGGGCGAGAAATAGGTGATATAGTAACAGAATCTTGGTTATATATATGATCAGCACTTGTTTTACTGTTTGATCTGAGTTTGTTCTGAGTTTGAGACAGAGAGCGAGTTATCTCTCCCTCTATTTCTTTGTGTCCATGGTGGCAGGAATCTGAAAATAAGGTAGTAGTATCTGCAGTTCGAGCAACAGCCCCAGAGATGGCAAAAATCGGCTAGATGCTGCGATAAACATCATTCAGTAGATTTTTGGTGGTTAATGAGCAGGAAGAACCGGGAGCTGGTAAGATGGAGGAAAGTTTACCACAGTTCATTTACACATACTACCCACTTTGTTATCATATAATGCTGTTTGAAAATCAGCAAAGAACTCTTTTACGACAAAAGGTGAAGAGGAAATACAACAGTACAATACATAAAAATGACCATAAAACTGGCATTAGGGAAATCACAATATTACATGGTAGATGAAGTCAAATGTTTTAAACATAAAAGAAGTCATGGATCAACATAAAAAGAAAAAGACGGCACTGTTTCAAGCTACAATTTAAACACCAGAGACAGCTCAATTAAAGGTCAAAGTCACAATCAGGAACTCAGTCTCATGTTCAGAGAACAGCACACACACACACACACACACACACACACACACACACACACACAACAGAGCGGGAAGTGTTACTGTGAGAGCTAAAGGTGTAGGCGTGGCACAAAGCAGGTGGGACCTGGGACTAAGAACCAGTTTGTTGAACCACATGTGCCCAGTGTTTTCTTTTTCGATAAGCAAAAGTTCACCGCAAGCAGACCCAACAAGTTAGACACAGACTGTCATCTCTTGGGGAGAATTTATACGTTCTACACATTCTCTAAATTTGTGGTGACTTTCTACAAAGGGCCCAGTGTTTTCTGTGACAGGCTACATTACGCCTACATGTCTGTGTTCTGGTTACCACAGTCATGTGACTGATCTTGTAGATACTGTGACAACGAGTGTTACCACAGTGCTCCTCTCTTAATTTAAAAGAGCCATCTCTATCTGCATTTTCACTGGTTGGGTATATGAACAAACAGACAACCTTACCAAGCAGAGCACTAAAGAGCTGACTCTGGAAGACATTGATGACTCTGTCCAGAGACTGCTGCAGCTGGGAGTCTTCCTCCACAGGGCCCTGTTTGGTCCGCCTCTGGTGCTGCTGTCTCTGGTCAAGTTTGGTCCGGTACTGCTGGAGAAGCTCCAGGGCTCGCTGTGCATCTGACAGAAAAATACAAAATATAACAAAACCTGCTTTTTTCCATAACTTATTACAGAAAAAAAGAGGCACAATTGTTATGTCACTCTTTCTAGTGCAAGGAGATTATGTACACTACAATCCTCCTCTTAATTGAGGATTACTATAGTAAAAAAAACTCTAACTCTAATAAGAGACAGATGATGACACCTGACTCCATGCAGCGAGTGTTGTCACAGGTTTTCTTTCTCTTTCTGTTTCAACTATTGCATGTTTTCAGTGTTTGACATCAATGTTGAGTGGCAAATTTGACAGCAGATGAAAATATAAAGTATAAATTAAGATTTTTATTCAGTAATATACAATCCTGTAGCAACTGTTTGCTTTAGAAAGGTGTATCATTTTCACCCCCAGCTCAAGGCATAATATCACAGCAATATAATGTAAAAATAAAATTGAGTTGAGTGATATTATAAGTCATCTTTGATCATAGGGGAAGCAGTGAAAATGCAGCCTATTTATGACATGTTATTGAATCTGGATTCTGTTAATTGGTAACTACTAGGCTATTAAGTTTTATTACTATGGCTTTATGTAAGTGTGGTGCAGAAGGACACGAGGACAACAGTTTATGGTGCAAAGGAAAGGTGCAGACCACACTCCAGGACACACTGCTGTCTGAACAGCTGATTAAACCGGAAGCACTGACAGCATCAACATCTCACTCAACCCACTGCCGCTCTCGTTTGAATGCCAAACGGCATAGTTTACACATTTAAAACCACATATACACAGGCGTTTTCAGATATAAATCAGTTGCGCATTTACATGCTTTAATACGGTATGCAATTAACATTACGCAGAGTCATAAATCCTGACCCTGATTCCCTCTGTCTATGTGTTGTAATAACAGCGAGTAAAAGCTGATAAAAATTAAAATAAAAATACTGCTTGGTGGAAAACGTGTGTGCCGAATTTACCACAGGGTCTGAATACTTAGTTAGAGCTCTAAAATTTTTAACTAAGCATTGTGCGCGTGCACCCATAAACAAATGAGCGTTAAATTGCGGGTGTTTTAAAGAAGTTTGGTGCGTTAGAGCACTTCGCTGAGCAGGAGAAACGACATGAACCTAACATTTTAGAGAGGTTTAAAAGTGATAAAGTCGATGTCGTTTGTCGAACAAAGTAAAATACGTGGGGGGATATACTAAAGAGAAAGAAATAAAGACAGAAACGCATTTTATTTACCTTTTTGGCGCACAGGCATGGTGACACGCTCAGTCCTCCTCCCCCGGGGCTTGTATCTGTGTCGCTTTGACGGTATCTGTTATTACAGATGTGTGCGTCCGTCCCGGGACAGCCTGCCTCCAAACTGGGACACCAAACTGACACGACTACAGTCTGCACCAACCTGTCTTTGCGTCAAAACAAAAACTTTGAGAAGTGTTTGAAAGTCCGACAAAAAACAGACAACGGCGGAGGGAAAAAAATGAACGAAACTATTGATATCAAACGTTGACAGTCGTCGCGTGGACTTAGCACCCGGAGCTTGTTTTCTCTTCTTCTTCACTTAAACTCTCCTTCTCTGTCTCGCTTTGATAAAAACTAGTCCTCCATTTCTTCATTCAGGTGACTTGACTCCAAACGCTGTCCGACCGGTTCTTAGGCGGTCCTGCGGGATGAACACACACACACACACACACACACACACACACACACACACACACTTAGAAGTCCTCAAATGCCACACACTCATTCGTGCACTCACCTTACAACAACATGAAAGCAGGTTTGAGAGTCTCTTCGTGTCTTCCAGTATGTTTGTGTTATTGATATTATACAGCTCTTATGTGCAATGGATAAAAGCCTGTTTTTATTCCAGGATACATGCTGGATTTACATCTAATCCACTCCACCCTGAGTACATGTGTGTTACAGTAACACTGATTAGTCTCCCAGAGGTAGATCTATGTAACAGCTCCTCTTTTGCTCCCACTGTCTTAGACTTCCACCATACATTTATTGATAAAATTGGATTATAATGATATGAAACAAAAAGTCTGGTCAGATTAAATTCAACATATTTTGCGAGTGAGGTGTGTATGGTCTGTTTCCCACATGCATGCACACAGAAAACCACAAACATGATCTAAAAGAGCAAGGTGTGTTATAGGGATCCAACTGAACTGTCACCAATGTAATCCCAGCAACTGTCAGGGCAAGTCCATCCCTGTCTGACTTTATTGTCATGGTAAACAGTTTTATTGTGTTGAGTAGATTAAGGCTTCTCTATCCCAGGCTTGTCCCCTGTCTCCCAGCCTAAATCCATGTCAATTACCAGGGTCTATTACCCAAAACAGTGCCTCTTTAAGGAGTGTGCATTCGCTAATTAGCTTTCATACAAAATGAAAAGAAAACTATGGAGCCCCTTATGTCCTGAAAGGTAATATTTTTAATTTTGTGAACACAAGTTAATTATCTCGTGGGAGCAAGTTATTATCTCACGCACACAAGATAATTAACTTGTGTACAAGATTAAAAAGAAAAAAAACAACACCTTTGACTTTAGGGGCTCCGTACAAATCAAATGTCCCCAGTAAATATCTGTGCGTTCCAGTACCCATACTACCATACCATATAGTATGCCAGAACAAGATTTAGTATGTTGCACTACATAGTATGTGAAATGCAGTAGGCCTATGCCAAAATAACTGGATGTTCTACTACTGTACACTCGGTTTGATTTTGCAGCATGAAAACCAGCATGCTTTTCTGGCTACTGTGACCCACAATCCTCTGCTCAGTCTATCAGCTGACTGATGACCAGTCCATTAGTAATAATGGGAATATTAATTGCGCAATTGCATAAAATAATCATAAATATAACCAACAGCAAAAGGACATAAGTATTAAATAACAATGACAGAGAAATGTATAGCTTCTGTAATTTTACTACTGTGAATATAACATGTTAGAACCTACAATGTATGCACCAGCAGAGCTCTCCGGGTTGACCTCTGTCTGTAGTGAGCTCAGTGAACAGCATTTTTTTTTATCTCCATGGTAACAGATATATGAGTAAGATGGTCAAGGTTCAGGGCGTAATGTTATGAGGAAGTAGTATGTCACGATTGTGTGCATACTGCATGCAACAGTGCATACTTTTTAGGGGCAGCTGCAATACCTACTAAAAGTAAAAAGAACAAGTATGTAATTCAGAACGCACCCTAAGAGTCTTTGTCAGACCTCTTTGGTTAACAAGTGGTACGGTCGAAACCTACATCAACGCCAATCTCTTAAGCATCTAACACATTAAAGATTGCTCAGGTACTGAGGATTTGCTATCAGTTGTCAGAGTACAAGACAGAAAGGCAGGATCAGAAATGCAAAGTTGCTGCGAGACATATGTTAGTCCTGCATGTTGGAGACAATGTAGGCCTACTGTATGTCTGTAGACAGTGGAGAGACTGTAGGGCCATTTCATCTGCACACACACTCACACACTCATGTACACAGGCAGCAGCTGAATGCAGGTCATGGACTCAGTCTCTGGTATTGTTATTGATCAGGTCAAAAGAGCTTATTGACAGCTTTGGTGGGCGCACAAAAAACTCTCGCTCTGTGTCTCTTACACACACAAACACTCACACACATCGATGCCAGCATAAATTATGCGTCAGCGTGGGGGGGAAATTTATGCATGATTGTGTAAGTGGGTTGGTCAGTCAGCACACAGAAGTATCATTTTGTACAAACCAGTGTGTAAAAGACAGAGTAAAGAGGAAAGGGAACAAAAGGACATCATTCTGCTTTTGTCAATGTGTGTGTCAATATGTGTTTGTGAGTGTGAGTGTGTCAATGTGTTGTGTGCGTGTGTGTGTGTGTGTGAGTGTGTGAGTGTGTGTGTGTGTGTGTGTGTGTGTGTGAGGCTTACTATTACCCTCTATTGTTAATTGTCGGCCTGTACCACAGTAAGCACAGTTGTTCTACAGAGGGCACTGATGCCAGGAGCACAGTGGGGAATGGTACAAGACAGACACAGGGAAGAAAGTTCAGTCAGTGATACCTGTCATATTATCCAGTCAAGTATCGAGGCAATGATCCTTTACATGAGTAACAGTAGTAAGACTGCAGCGTAACATTCTTTTACAAGTAAAGATCCTGCATGGAAGTAAATACAGAAGTTGCATAAGTAAAAGTAGTTATTCTTAAAAAAAATGTAAAACTATGTGAGTTCCATAAGTCTGTTTTTATTGTTGGCTTATTGACATGGCTCCAGAGACTGCTTATTGTTATTTCTGATGCACTGATGTGTAACAGTGTTTTTACGTTGTAGCTGGTTGATGTGGAGCCAACTTTGACAACTTAACAGACTGGTTAGTCCAATCTATAACAGTGCTTCATATTTTATATGCTATCTGTCATATAAATGCATAAAATGGAGTAAAAAGTACAATATTTGTCCTGAAGTGTATGGAGTAGAAGTAAAGTAGCATAAAATGGAAAAATTAAGAATAAATAAATAAATGTACTAACTGGAAGTTACATTCCAGTCATTATGGTATTTAAAAACATAACATCAGCATTTAGAAAATGTTAAGTTGACATTACACACGTTAAAATTTTTGGACTGGGGCGCCATCTTGTGAGGGTTGCACTGGGGTTGGGGTGGCAGTAGCTCAGTCCATAGGGATTGGGTTGGGAACCAGAGGGTTGCGGGCTACAGACCAAACATGGAGTGTGGACTCGTAGCTGGAGAGGTAGCTGCACTGCCGAGGTGCCCTTGAGCAAGGCACCAAACCCTGAACTGCTCAAGGTGCCTATCCAGGGCAGCCCCCTCGCTGTGACATCTCTTCATTTAATGCATGTATAGGTCCTGTATGTGTATGTGCATGTATTTCAGGCCTGTGTGTATATGACAGAGTGAAAAAACTGAATTTCCCCTTGGGAATTAATAAAGTAAGTATCTTCTTCTCCTGTGTTACATGTGCCTGCTAAGGTGGTCAAGCAACAGCATTTGAACAAACTAATCATGATAAACATCATAGATCCAGATGACTTCCAAGGCTGGATTACAGACCCTGATACACTACCTCCACCCACATATCCAGACATTGTAAACTCATCTCTCATCTCATTTTTGGACCGAATGCATTCACTTTGGTAATAGTGTTCTGAGGATGACATTTTTCTGTAGGCCGAAGCGGGAGTTAGCATAGTAATGGTTTGGATTTTGGATTACTGCCAAAACTAAACTGTGTTGCAAACCAACATTTTTGATGCTTACACATTTTGTTCAGCAAGATAATCTTCACATATGAACACAGCTTTCATGATTATTGAAGCCTTAATGCAATCGCTAGAAGTAAAAAGCTAACATTAGGCTATAAATGAACTACACTACGGTTGCATGACCTAACGTCACCACCATAACAAGATAGTAAAGCCATGTTTGGCGCATCTCGGCATGATGAGGTTCTGTAGTCTTATTTAGCCACATGTTTGCAACTGTTTTTTTAAGACACAAAGAAGCTTCAAAGTTCAGGAGTGGAGCATTTACTGATGTATTTTATGTCATAGAACAAAACTTGAAAGTCTCTTAAGCTTGTGTTAAACACAGACCTTAATGCATCTAACAAAAACCCATTGACTTTGAGACAAGGGAACCATTAGTGGTTAAATACTAACTCATATCCAGGTTTTAGGACTCATTCCTGGCACACTTTATGGAGATAACAGAGCCCATAAGATGGCGAACCCATCCAGCATGGCTTGACGAAACTCTATATATTCTCTATAGCCATGGGAAATGGTAATTTCTGATTGGCTGACAGGTGTCCATATGCACATATCCATAGCAACATGACACAGTTGATACATTGCTTATGGTTTTACTATCTCACACTCGTGAAACAAACTTAGCCTAACTAGAAACAAACTTTGAAAAATTTATGAATAGATAATTGTTTGATTAGCAAAGGTTTTCTTTTTGCCTGTGGTAAGTAGTCAGGGTATAATGTTCTCACCCCATCTCACTAAATATAGGTCTTTTTGCCTGAGGACTTACCCATCTAAATAAAATGCTTGATACCCTCTTGTGCCAGTTTTGGACGTTCACAGACAGCAGTCAATTTACACTTGTTACATGTATTGTGTTTTTTCAAAATACACTTCCATTTTCACAGGAAATGTACAGTTTCTGCTAATTAAATGCATACAGTCTTTTTCAAAATAAACTAACATCAAAGGTAAAACACTTTGTTTTTAGATTTACAGTACAGGCCAAAAGTTTGGACACACCTTCTCATTCAATGCGTTTTCTTTATTTTCATGACTATTTACATTGTAGATTCTCACTGAAGGCATCAAAACTATGAATGAACACATGTGGAGTTATGTACTTAACAAAAAAAGGTGAAATAACTGAAAACATGTTTTATATTCTAGTTTCTTCAAAATAGCCACCCTTTGCTCTGATTACTGCTTTGCACACTCTTGGCATTCTCTCCATGAGCTTCAAGAGGTAGTCACCTGAAATGGTTTCCACTTCACAGGTGTGCCTTATCAGGGTTAATTAGTGGAATTTCTTGCTTTATCAATAGGGTTGGGACCATCAGTTGTGTTGTGCAGGAGTCAGGTTAATACACAGCCGACAGCCCTATTGGACAACTGTTAAAATTCATACTATGGCAAGAACCAATCAGCTAACTAAAGAAAAACAAGTGGCCATCATTACTTTAAGAAATGAAGGTCAGTCAGTCCGGAAAATTGCAAAAACTTTAAATGTGTCCCCAAGTGGAGTCGCAAAAACCATCAAGCGCTACAACGAAACTGGCACACATGAGGACCGACCCAGGAAAGGAAGACCAAGAGTCACCTCTGCTTCTGAGGATAAGTTCATCCGAGTCACCAGCCTCAGAAATGGCAAGTTAACAGCAGCTCAAATCAGAGACCAGATGAATGCCACACAGAGTTCTAGCAGCAGACCCATCTCTAGAACAACTGTTAAGAGGAGACTGCGCAAATCAGGCCTTCATGGTCAAATAGCTGCTAGGAAACCACTGCTAAGGAGAGGCAACAAGCAGAAGAGATTTGTTTGGGCCAAGAAACACAAGGAATGGACATTAGACCAGTGGAAATCTGTGCTTTGGTCTGATGAGTCCAAATTTGAGATCTTTGGTTCCAACCGCCGTGTCTTTGTGAGACACAGAAAAGGTGAACGGATGGATTCCACATGCCTGGTTCCCACTGTGAAGCATGGAGGAGGAGGTGTGATGGTGTGGGGGTGTTTTGCTGGTGACACTGTTGGGGATTTATTCAAAATTGAAGGCACACTGAACCAGCATGGCTACCACAGCATCCTGCAGCGACATGCCATCCCATCCGGTTTGCGTTTAGTTGGACGATCATTTATTTTTCAACAGGACAATGACCCCAAACACACCTCCAGGCTGTGTAAGGGCTATTTGACCAAGAAGGAGAGTGATGGAGTGCTGCGGCAGATGACCTGGCCTCCACAGTCACCGGACCTGAACCCAATCCAGATGGTTTGGGGTGAGCTGGACCGCAGAGTGAAGGCAAAGGGGCCAACAAGTGCTAAACACCTCTGGGAACTCCTTCAAGACTGTTGGAAAACCATTTCAGGTGACTACCTCTTGAAGCTCATGGAGAGAATGCCAAGAGTGTGCAAAGCAGTAATCAGAGCAAAGGGTGGCTATTTTGAAGAAACTAGAATATAAAACATGTTTTCAGTTATTTCACCTTTTTTTGTTAAGTACATAACTCCACATGTGTTCATTCATAGTTTTGATGCCTTCAGTGAGGATCTACAATGTAAATAGTCATGAAAATAAAGAAAACGCATTGAATGAGAAGGTGTGTCCAAACTTTTGGCCTGTACTGTATTTCCTTAGGTTCAGGCAACAAAAGTCCCTTGTTAGGTTTAGAAAACAAAAGCATGTGATAAAGGTTTAGAAAAAAACATCATGGTTTGGCTTAACATTCACACGAGAAACAAAAAACAGGCTTCTAAGTGAAAGTCCAAAGTTTGTTTGACCCATCCACCACCCCTCCAGCCCACTGTGTCTAAAACTGACATGCCTAGTGCATATCATATTGCCGCAGAAGGTGCCTCTGTGTATCAGCGCCTGATACTGAGATCACTGACAAAGCGGTGGTATTTGATGAGTTGTGAGCGAAAAACGGGCTGGGTATATAGAGAATGTGAAGGTATGTCACATCATGTAGGGAAGTAGGCTACATGCTCTGTCATCTCCATTACCAAAGTGTATTGTACAGTTTAAAATGTCTGGGTATGTAGTGGAGGGAGTACAACTGGGTCTGTAGTCGAACCTTGGCCTGCCAAGTGATTCGGACTTATGTTGTTATGTTGTTTATCATGATAAGTTTGTCCAAATACTGTTGCTTGACCCCCTGTAGCATGACACAAGCAACAATGATGTGTTTAAGTGCCTCAACATAGCTAGAAGATAACAGACTTAGCTTTGTGCCATGGCTTCCTTCACCTCTGCCTTGTGCATTGATGTCTGTTTTTGTAAAGGTCACAACCACCTGTATTATTGCTTACATAATATACCTTATAAGTGGCTTGCAATTCATTTACCATTATAGGTTTGTGCTGAAAAAGTTCAAAATAGTGTCTTGATAAATTTTTGACAGACAACAAAGACCAAAAGTGACACTCATAGTATTAGTTGAAACAAATGGCATTATTGAAACTCGTACATGGCAAACAACAGATTAACTCTTCTATATTGCAGAAATACTGAGTGATGAGTGAATGAGCACACTGGGCAGAGCTGGGATGGATTTTTTAATTGCCCATAAAATTAACTTATCGTGAAATATCCTTGTCATCAGTGCCCATTAATCAATAATAATGTTGTGGAACGGTTGAAGGCTGACAAATCCAGTTTGTAGAGAGCAGTAAGATCTCTCATTACGCCAACTTATTTTTCCATTTGGAAATTAAAACTGGTTTAGGACTGCACGCGTGATCAAGCTTCGCTTCACTTTTCAGAGAATGTCTTAATGGAATTATTTTTTACATTTGCAGGTGCTGTGTGCAAAATCCAGCATGATTTCTATACATAATACTTACCACAAAGGATCACATGTATTATGACATGGTTTTCTACCTTAATGAGAAACTCTGTTTGTGAGGCAGCTTGACAGACTCAACCGCCCCGCTGTAATCCAGAGCTCAGATAAATGTCAAGATATAGATGAGATAGACGGATGGAGAAGGATGAAGAAGAGTCAGGCTGTTAGGCTAATGGACAGAGAGACAAAGGAGCATCTGCTGAGATGATGAGAGCCTCTAGTGACTTTAATCCAAAGGGAAGCAGAGGAAACTGAAATCTCCTTTAGACCTGCTGAGGTGACTGACATCACTCCATCCTCTTTCCTTTCTTTACCTCATCCCCTTTTCTCTGCCTCCCTTCTTGATCCATCCTGTTCAATGTTGTTCATTCTTACCCTCTATCTCACCTTTTCCTTTCTCTTTGTTCCCTTCCTTTACCCCTATCTCTTCCTACTGCCTCTGACTTCCTTTGCCTTGCTTCTCTTTTGCTCCGTTCCTTTATTTCCTTCCTTATTTTGCCCTTTTTTCTCTTTATTTGCAGAGAAAACTACCTTTTTTAATCAACTAATGCCCCCCTTCACCCTCTTCTTTTGTCTCTCTTTCCACAGCAATGAAGATGCATACAGTGGAGGAGTAGAAGGACAGAAATCCCTCTCTTCTGCCCTCCTAAAGACACAGCTCAGTGCACCAGGAGGAACCCAGATTACCAATAGTGACATTTTTATTATTTGTACAATAGAGACTTTAGTACATTATTCAAAACACTTCTTATATACTGAAAAAATGGTACGTCCCAAAGCCCAAAATGGCTCCAGTATAATCGCTGCACAGCATTTTTTCAATTTTATACATATATTATTTTTTGTAAAAACTGTATCTTAAATAGTATGTACAGATAGCGTCTGCAAAATGCATTCTAAACACATGATATATATTATATATAATTCTGCAATTACATTTCTCCGCATTAATACTCAAACTTAAAACTGGAAGGATTTCAACTTGCATGTGCAAATAAATAAAGAAATAAATAGTTCTGTTAAATCGTCACTAAAATTTGTCCAACTTATAACTCAACAGCGGTTCTCTCTTCGGAGGTCAAAGTACTTTTTGTCACACAACAGAAGAAGCAGCATTCAAGTTGGGTAGGTGTAGGTACTGCAGAAAGCATGAGTACATTCACAATCAATATGAGTCATTTTAAATTGGATTTCATTCACAGCTATGTACAGTGACACCGTCCTCAGCATTTGTTCAGCTCTTATGTAGTTTAAACACATAGAAAATGACTGTTTTTATAGTCATATACATATATATATAATATATATTTGTATAACACAAATTCACAATTACAGTAGAAATACATTTTATACAGTTTTGGATAGTACATGTGTAGGTCTCCAAGTCATACTGTGCGTACTTCCATCCATAACTTTGTTATAAGTGTCATTATTATAAAATATCACAATTTTTGAGCAAAGCTAAGGTATATCAATATATTTAGAAAGAATTACCTGAAACATGTAGTAAAAAATAATTATATTATCAAACCTTTTTCTCTGTTCTCTTCACAATATCTTTGATATTTCAAACTCTAAATAGGGTTGGGTGGGTACCTGTGATTAAGATCAATTCTCTCAACCACAGGATTAAACTGTGCCATTTTGTGTCCCTTATATTGAATTAACTAAAGTCTAATGCTTATTAAGAGGGCTGACACAAAATGGGCACAGGGTGACACTGTCATGTCAAGTAAAAGCAAAGGACAGCGAAGGATGTTGTTTTGCTCTGGATGAAACATCAGATGTTTTACAGAACAAAACAAAACTCACCGCCATGAAACGTCTTCAAGACACGTGTTGCATTTACACGAAGACAGAAAATGAACCTCTTCGCTCTTTTTCCATGGTTACTTCTGTCATAAAGCTTCTGAGGCATTATCATGAAGGTCAGATTTTATAAGACCACACTGACATGACTCCAGAAACCTCACGCACAATCTCAGTTTCTACATCTGAGCCAGCATTATTTTCTTTCCATATCCGCATATCATTTGGAACATTTACCAACCAGGTTGAAAAATCTAAATTCCCATGTACACCTAGTGTTAACTAGCATCTCCTCAGGTTACAAAAGTTACACTGAAATTTCAAGTGTAGCCAAAAGCCTTTGTGGCACAGACCAGATCATTTCCTGATTGTCTAAAAAGGGGAAATCTGGCTGACTGCAGATTTACCCATTAAGACAGTAACACTGTATTATACCTTACTGATTCCTGTAGGGACATTCTCTTTCCTCTTGCTGCTTTCTGCGGGGAGGCCAGAGGTCAGGACACTTCAGCAGAGCAGTTGCTTGGATTTGAAGGCCAAGCCAAATGTCACTAAAGCCTCGCTGCTGCTCTCACTGTGTTCAGATCAGATCTGGGCCACAAAGAGGTAAAGCTCTGATGTTTCGGGCCTGTGTAAATACAACCAGGGAGGGGCAGAGGGTCCATATGGCACCAACTGTAAGAACATCAGTCTCACTGACACTCAGTGGTATAATACATCTAGAGTCTTCCACAGAGTAGAGAACTCCAGAAGCCAACAGAAAATGTCTGGCTGACAGTGACCAGTGACATGAAAGCATGCTGTGACATTATCATACAACTTAAACAGCTAAAAAAGGATGAGACATTGCCTTAACAATACTAGAAAACAGGACTTCAAAATATGGCACATATATAATATGAATAATGTTACAGTGTGTGTGAGTTTTTTATAGCAATTGAATTGTAAAATCAGGCTAGAATATAGAGGGCTTCATTATGAACAGTGCACAGCGCGCACCACTGCATATGTGTTGTGTATGGGGGCACATATGTCTACATTATATGTGTTTGCCTGTTAGCTTATGTGCATGGCAGTGTGTGTAAACATTAGCATGACTTGCTCAATAGATGGCACTGTAGGACAGGTTAGGCTCTGCTGAAAATCTCAATGGGTCGAGCCTCAGGAGTATTGCTTTAGCTCTTTTCGGCACAGCTGTGCAAGCAACAGTTTTAAAAACAAAATCAAAACCAAAGAAAGAGTAGCAGTAATGAACTATCAACAGTGTTTTCTTTACAGAAGAGAAAAAAAAAATCAGTGTTATACTTTAGAAAATTGTCCATTTGGAGAAATAATCCCTGTATGTTCATAAGAGAGAATTCAGAATGTGGTTTATCGACAATATTTATATTAATCATAAACTTTTAGAGCTGTCTGTCCAGGCCCCAAGGAAAGTGCAGCTGTAGAAAGCCGCAGCTCTATGTATGTACACAAGGCAGAAAATCTTAAGTTTTCAATTTCTGTACACAGGAGGCAATAATACCTGCAGAACAGAACAGGAGACAGCAGAAAAGAATAAAACACAAGACAGTGAAAGAAAGAGAAGAACAGAGCAGGAGACAACAGAAAAGAAAACAAAGAAGAACAATGAAGAACAGGGAGAGTGATTCATGTGCTACACCAAACAAATCATTAAATATCTACCATGGACAGCAAAATAAAAGGCAGTGGAGAGAAGCAAAAATACCCCAGAATGCTAATTAACCAAACAAAAACTATTCAGACTGACTGATCAGGTGACTGCCTAATTAACAACCACAAAATCCAAACTGCAGCAGCCCTGTAGGAACTCAAAGAGTCCTCTTGTGGTCCGTCCAGCCGTCGATCAGGTCCCTGACCGCCGGTAGACAGAAGAGCCGATATGTTTCCTATGGTACATTTGGCACTAGTATTTGCCTTTGGTCCAGCAATAGGCAAATAAATGTCTGTGTGTTCCCCTAAAAAGGTAAAAAAGGCGGCTCATTTTTCAGTTCCACAAGCCTCCAGCGGAGGGCAGGTGGGGTGGCATGGGATGGCGATGAGCAGAGTAGAGAAGCGTTGTTGTGTTTTGTTTGTTTGTTTGTTATAAAACTATTTTTTTAGCACGTGCTGCTGTCTCTCAGAACCACCAAGTCCACCGTCCGCTGGAAACTCTTCAGCAGAGAGACGGCTGTCTCGTGCTCCATGTGTAAAAAACTATGTCCGTTAGCCTGCAAGGCAAACATGCAGCACAGTCAACAGCGTGTGTGTGTGTGTGTGTGTGTATGTATAGAGGTATGTGAGCTGCAGTATTTCCATACATATGTCTATGTGTGTGTGTGAGTGTGTGTGGAAGGATGGAGGGTCACTGCCATCATTATCTCAGTAACACATCACTGTTGGGGAAAAGAGAGAGAGGAGGAGGAGCTACACAGTCATGCTGTAGAAAGAGAGAAGGGGTAAAGACAAAAAAGGGCTTTTAGATGAGTTCATCCAGCTAAACTGTACATCTGTGGAGAGAAGATGAAAGGGGAGGAGGGGGGAGGAAGACATGATAGGAATGGAGGATGGGGGGTAAATATATCAAGGTAAAGTGCTGGCATCTCATTTTGACCTCACAGTACAATCCTCATGGTTCTTTTTTGGCTTAAATCTAACACAACTTTCAAATAATAGATAAAAGATCATAATAATTTGACTGATCTAAATGGGAGGTGGATTTGTTTCAATAGCTATTGTTTCAGGCCTTAGAATGTACTCATGTTACCTGTAATGCTCCCATGTTTGCTTCACAATTTATATTTCAGAGAAACAATCTAGTTGTCTGAAAGATAACATATTGTAATTCATACTACACATTGTAAACTTTCTGAAAGTATCAGAATACAATTTAGAAAAGTTCCCAACCTTTAGATCCAAATCTTATCCAAAGTTACTGAATATAAAGAGTGATTATGCAGTAAGACTGGAAGCAGATCAGTGCAGATATGCATTAACTGACCTGGAAATATCTAAGTGGCAAGTAATGATTGTAGTATGATGTACAACTTTATTGTGAGATAGATAATTACACATATATTGTGAGATGGCACTCAGGTTGTGGTACTCAAAGCACCAAAAAATATCTATTTTCTTTCTACTAAACTACACCTGCCAATTGACCTATGGTTAAGTCCTGCCCTCAAACGCGATGAGCCAATCACAGTGCGTATAGCCATTCCCATACACTCGGACATTCTCTGCCTGGACATCCATTGGAATGCATTACAGAAAGTCAGTTTTGTTTGGCTTTATGAGCTTTTTCAGAGATTTGAAGTTTAAAAATGGTCAAACGGTGTGCATGGGGTACATGCAACTCCGACACAAGGTATCCTGAGAGGCTGGGCGACGAGGTGTATTTTTTACCCTTTAAACCACATCTCAACTGAGAAAAGTGTCTCCTTTGGATAAAGTTGTGTGGTAACATTAGACTACAACATCAACTCAACGTGAATAAGATTAATAATGATGTCTACATCTGTTTTAAGGTAAGTCAACATCGTGTTTCGTGTATTGTCACTTTGCTGGAAAGACATATAAAGTTATCTTTAACATCTCCAGCTAACGTTAGCTAAAGTTAGCCTAACGTTAGCTGTGTTGTTCATCATGTCACCTTGTTTGCTGGGAGTTCATTAGCCTATTTTGTTCTAGTTTTGTACTTTGATGATCGTACATCATTGTTAGCTGTTGTCCATAGGGCTCTAATTAAGCTAACGTTAACTTCTGGAGCTTAGCTTCATTAACTTCTGTAATCTGTAATGGCAGAGATAACAAAGGTTGGCAAACGTTATGCTGAATGATTCAGTGTAAATACTGTAGCACCAAACTAACGGTGAGACACTTTTGGTAAAGATGGTAAAAAGGCCGTTATCCTTTTTTCATATTCTGAGCCAAAAACCTTAACTTCACTGGCACTTAAACTTGTTGTCTTTGATGGTGACGGCAATGAGATGCGGTTTACAAGCGCACACTGTGACCTGTAAATTTTGGCTTGTAATTTAAGCTTTTCATCGACCTTCTCAACAATAAAATGATGAATATATCCCTCCAATGCGTAGTTTAGGCCCTTTTGGTTACTTCTCAATGACATCTGATTGTTATGTCCCCAAAAAACATCAATTGCCTCCTGCAAAATGCCATGTACTGTGACACCTGCAATAGCGCCGGTCACTGAATGTTGATAGTTTGTCTGGGTGAGTGGAGGGGGGCGTGGCTTAGCCATAGGTCAATTGACCTTTCACTGAGCCCTGTCCCTTTGTGATGGTCCAACAAGCTGTCACAGTAAGCATGGAGCCCACACTGTAACTAACTGCACTCCCTGAAGAAATATTATTGTGGACCCTATGGGAACAGGTAGCGGATCGGAAGATCTCATGGACAAACTTATGGAAGACTGAACCACACCGCATGAAGTTCCTGGTTCAGTCAGTGTATGACGTCCTCCCCAGCCCATCCAATCTCTTCCATTGGGGCCTGGCAGATTCTCCACTCTGCCCACTCTGCCAAAAACCAGGTTCACTGGAGCATATCCTGAGCTGCTGCCCAAGAGCACAGGGAGATGGGCACTACCGCTGGCACCATGACCAGGTGCTGAAGGTCATTGCAGAGGTCATTAGTACAGCGATCTCCAGCAGTAGACAGCAGCAACCGGCAAGGCAGTCCATCGCTTTCGTCAAAGCTGGGGAGAAGCCGCAGTAGCATCCGAGTTAGACAGGGGGGCTGCTGGCAACAGCTCGGGACTGGCAGCTGAAGGTCGACCTGGGGAGACACCTTAAATTCCCAGAGAACATCACAGAAACCACACTCAGGCCAGATATGGTACTGGTATTAGAAACATCAAGACAAGTGGTCCTGCTGGAGTTGACTGTTCCCTGGGAAGACCGGATGGATGAGGCCTTTGAAAGGAAGAGGGCCAAATATGAGGAGCTGGCAGACGAGTGCCGAAGCAGGGGATGGCGGACCCGATGTAACCCTATCAAGGCTGGATGCAGAGGATTCGTCAGCCAGTCTCTTATTAGGGCACTCAAGATGCTGGGAGTGAAGGGACGGCACACAAGGAGAGCCATCAAGAACATCACTGATGCCGCAGAAAAGGCGTCAAGATGGCTGTGGATCAAGAGGGGAGATCCGTGGACAATTAAAGCCACTTAGACATAAGCCGGGGCTTGATCAACCCCGGCTAGGTCGCCTGGGTGAGGGTGTATGATGTTGAGAGACCCGAAACACCCAATGACCCCAGGATACATCACTGATGATGTGTCTAAGTTGCACCAAGAGGTGTTTGCTAGAACCCTGCTTCCCTTCACTGGTTCCTGTACAGCAGGGTTGGTCTTTTTTTCATTGTTGTAATCATTAAAAAACAAAAGCAGCATGTGTATACATTCAGTAGGCTATATCTTCAGTAGCTAGCTAGCTAACACTTTCCAGGAGTTGATCTCCAGGTAACGGTGTGCCCCAGGCACAACATTTAGCTCCAAATCCACAACACCAGCCTGAAAATGAAGGAAATCTGAAATGAGAGTCAATACAGCTCAGCTGTGTTGCTGTCAGACCCTGGTTTGAGCCAGCTCGATGCTACGTTATGATTGGCCAGTCTTTGTCCAGGAGTTGGATTTAGCGAAGGGTCAATTGTATCACTGCAAAGAGGGAAGTGTGCATCTGTCAGTTAAGAATGCTATTAATGTTTACATCTTGTGCTGTCAAGAGCAGGAACCTCTTCTCCATGAGTAGATGCACGCTTCCTTCTGTGCGGCGATACAATTAGTGGGTGTAGTTCAGTGGAAAAAAAATAGTTCCTACATGAAACTGCTCACAACAAACTCTGTGGATTATCTTGAGTAACCAGGTCATGATTTCTGAAAAGAGACATTGCTATTGAGTTTTTCTGTTAATTATTTTTTTCGGGGTGCTTTGAGCACAACAAGCCAAGTGCAATCTTGTTCCATTACATTCAAGAGTGGGCAGATATCTCCCTACATTCGGCAACCCACACCAATACAATCCAGACTGATTAATAGCACTCCACATAAGAGGAAAAAAATGTATTTGTGGTTATTTTTTTGTTGGGTGAACTGTTACATTAAAGTAAGTTCAGCCTTACTCATGTCTTCTAAAATGGCCTTCAAATTGTTTCTTCATTTGACTTTCAAGTTGTCAGTTTCATAGTACTAGTGATAGTAACAGTATGAATAACATTGTTTTAGGCTACTCAAATCTCCCTGTGATATTTGGCTCAACAGCTTTAGGGTGTCACTGGCTATTGATGAATGAGAGAGGGATGGTGGGGGTCATGCCTGATTTCTGGACCAACAGGTACACACACAGAGGCAGAATATACAGGTAGGAAAATGCTGATACACTCTTGTATAATTAATATAAACACCCAGTTAGATAACACCTCCTTGTGAGTTTGCGATCAGTGGCTCAGTCACTGTAGCTTATTAATGTCTGTGTTCCTCTGTTAGTGAATAGAAAATGTCCAGCTAACTGTAGTGCATAAAGAGCACAATACTTCCTCTTCTCTCCTACTGAATGCTCTGCCTCGCTGTTGCAAAATTAGGGAAGGGTTAGGGAGGGAGAAAGGGCAAGATGTGGCTGTTTTCTGGCCCATTTGATGACAAGTGAGAGGATGTTACCTGCAGAATCTTGTCTCCGGGCTGCAGGGCGGAGGCAGCGGGCCCGTCATGCTGTACCCTAGTAACAAAGATACCCTATAAGTCAAAATGATACACCGTTAGGACAACACAGGGACACGATGGTTTAGAATCTTTGCCTTTCTCATTCTCATCTCAATATCCACCCCCAATCCCCAAATAAATCACATTTCTGCCAAAAATATACAGGCAGTTCACCAATGCATTCTCTTTGCTCCAAATTTAGAGAGGCATGCAAGTCATGATGGATTTTAATCAGTTCAAGTACTTGGATTTACTTGTTATTAGCGTCTACTTTAAAATTTACAGAAGCTGAGTTATACATTCCTCCCAAAAAGACACATGTCAGAATAGTTTAGATGCTGTTTATACAGTAAGGCCTTTGCATAAACATGAAGTTAGAAAGAGAGAAAAATAGATATACAGTAAATATATAAAGAATAGGGGAAGAAAAATAGGTGTGGGATGGGTACCGACTAGGGGTAAGAAGTAGGTAGCGGGGAGGGCATCAGATATTTCATCTCCCGTCTTTTCCCTAAATAACCCAAGGCAGAGATTGTAAAAACACCAACATCTTTTCACTGAGAGCTGAAAGATGTTTTTGAACACAGAAAGTGTCGGACAATGCAGCTGTGTCGACTCAACATGGTTCAACAGGTTGTGCACGTGTTGAACACACAGTGGTGAGCTTAACAGATAAAGTTAACAATACGATGTAGTAGTGACAGTGCAGTGGCACCTTCATACTACAGTGTATGAGTGAATGCAGAAACAAACACATATATTGAATGTTAAAGAAGTGTGTATGTTAGAAGTATTAGTTTAGTTACTGTTCATCCAACACTGGCATTTATACAGTGAGCCTCATATGTGTATATGATCAGATAATTTCCATAATGTGACTATGAAATGGTTTGAATCAATGCAGTTCATGCAATCTATGTATGACAACACACTACAAACACTGTTATTTTGATCTGGCCAGTTAATTTTAGTATTTAATTAATGTCCTTCACATCTTTGGAAGCCCATGTCTGCCAGGGTGATGAAATTTAAAAAAAAAAAAAAAATCCTGTAAGTCATATAAATGAGCTAGTATCTCAAAATAATTACTAAGTATTTCAAAATAATGAGTTATCATCTAAAAATAATAATAAAAAAGATACTAAATCATTATTTTGAGAGTCTCTCATTTTTTTTAGAAACGTTCTCATTATTTTGAGGAAGTTTCTCATTATTTTATGAAAGTTTCTTAATATTTTGAGATACCAAGTCGTTATTTTGAGGTGAGTAATTCATTATTTTGAGAAAGTTTCCCATACTTTTGAGAAAGTTTTCCATTATTTTGAGATAAGTAATTCTTTATTTAAAAAATGTTTGTCATTATTTTATGAAAGTTTCTCATATTTTTGAGATAGCTTTTCATAATTTTTGAGATACTATGTCATTATTTTGAAGTAAGTGATTCATTATTCGGAGAAAGGTTTTTATTTTGAAAATTACTCATTACTTTAAGAAAGTTTCTCATTATTTTATAAACATATTCTCATTATTTTGAGAAAGATTGTCATTATATTGAGATACTCAATTATTACTTTGGGATACTAACCCATTATTTTGAGATATGTCTTTTTTGTTGAAAGTTTCTCGTTATTTTTAAAAGTTTCTCATTATAATAACTTACAGGATCTTGTTTTCGTTTGTTTGTTTTGTTTCATCACACTGGTAGAAACACATCCTTTCAGACACTGAGAAAGTGGAATATGGAGCTCACTGTACATTACAAATGTGATTGTTAGCAGCTTAAACCTTCATAGCATTAGTCATAATGATTAAACATTTATACACTATAAAGCAGTTGCACACAAAGCTGCAGTTCCTTGCAAAAACCATCCATCTTCAAAACTTCAGAATTTTCAGAAATTTTGAAAAAGCAGTCTGTTTTTTTGTGGTACAACAAGGGTTTTGCAGCTCAGCGATAACATAGATCACTGTTTCCTCCCAAAGATGACAGGTGATAAGTTATCGACAGCAGCTCAGTGTGCAAAGACAGCATTTAGCAACAGCAGGAACAGAAAATTGGATTTTCAAACGATCATGACCCAGATCTGATGAAAAAGTCCATGTTCTGCTCCTTAAAACCCTGTCTTCTGTTCTTAAACCAAGCCTGAGAAGCTAATACATCAAAGCCCGGGATCCCACTCCTGTCAATACGGGAACTGAGTCACTGTCTCCGCTCGCTGAATCCTAATTAGTCAGGAGTGAAACTGACCCAGTGGCTTAGAGTGCCACAGCTAGTCTTTTAAGTCAAACTTAGGAGATCACTGTCATTTCTTTTGTAGAAACCTGATAATGACTTCTGGCAGATTTTCACAAAGGGTTTTAAAATGTTAAGAAATCAATGGGGAATCTAAACTTTGATGCAACCTGTCAGATCCTTTCACGGAAACTCTTTTATGAGAAGTATGTTTCATAAACTGTCAATAAATCTGACGACTTTCTTGTGTCTTTGTGTCTATACAAAAAAAAAATTCAAAGATTACATCTTGAAAGGGTTACGATCTTAAACTTCTTTGTTGTTTACAGTAAAACATTTTTTTAAGTTATGAAAATATACTGTTAAATACATTTGAGGATGATAAAAATCTACAGGATTATGTCAAATTTAGGATTATAATTTGTGTCACTTGAACATCAAACAAATCTACATTTTCTGAAGTGTATTATTATTTAGTCATTATAAAAAACAGAATTACAGAATTTTGTGGCACAATTAAAACGAGATTTCCACTATAAAAAGGCTGCACAAAAAGGCTAAAAAAACATAAAAAGGAGACAACTTTTGTTTGAATTTAAATGGAAATAAGTGAATTAATTTTCCAATTCAAATTGACAATTTTGAAGCCACTTTAAAGATAATACTGCTCCAACTGTATTTTAGTGTTTTACAAATATTAGGGATGCACCGAATATTCGGTAACCGAATACATTCGGCCAAATATTGCAAAAAAACACACATTCGGTATTCGGTGGAATAAGTTAAAAGCAAGGCCGAATAATAGCGGTGTGTTTTGATAACGCAATCAAACAACGTGCCGTGACGGGCGGAGTGAAATGTCGGCAGTGTGGTGATTTGCGACTAAAAATAGTTTTGAGCGAGCAAAATAGGCTTAAATCATTCAGCACGCTGTGCGAGCAGCCTACAGATTTCAACCAGTAGCAGAAACGAAAGGCAAATCCCACCAGTTGTGGGTTGAACGGGGGACACAGACACAGACAGCAATGTATTCCTGTCAAATACGGCAGCCATCGGCTTACCGGCGACGGACAAGTCGGCTCCAATAATATCCTCTTCTTGGCGTGTGGACTGCCCAGAAGTACCTGAACAGCCGAGCCAGCCGAACACAGGTATGTGATGTGTCAGAGGAGAAACGAGCCGTTCACAGCCCACAAACCTCACCGCACTTTAGGGACTGTTCTTTACTTATGAGGGGGAGGAGGGTGGCTGGTTGATTCTTATTTTATTTATTTATTTTATTTTGATCCCCCCTATGTTCATCACTGATTGATGCTGTTTTTGAAGTATGAATAAGTCAATAAGTAATTTATTCCATTGAAATATCATTGATGTATTATAGAAAAGTGATTTATCTTTTTATAAATGACAAAAGGCACATCTGCCTCATTTTTGCTGTGGTATCGTGATACTACTCAGAACCATGATATTTTCATTGGTATCGTACAGTGGGTCCCAATATTGGTACCGTGACAACACTAATCTGGAGGGGGTTCATCTGCAAAAACTAATGAAAAACTGATTAACAATATTCGGTATTCGGTACTCGGTATTCGGCCAAGCTTTTAATATTATTCGGCTTCGGCCACAATTTTTCATTTCGGTGCATCCCTAACAAATATAAAGAGCACTTATAAATGTGGGCTACATCTATGTTCTTTTTGACCAGATAACTCAGAGGAAGGGTGCAAACAACAGTCTGACCACAGGGGGAAGCCACAGTCCTGTGGAACAGCCATGGCTGTAGCAGGCTCTAGGGATCAAAACCACAGATGTATAATTTATCAGTCAAGCTGTTTTGATTCACAACCCTTTTAACTATTTACACTCTGGCTCAATTTAGCCTTACGTGTGCCCTTAATTTACATTCAGAGAAAATTAAAACAATTTATGTAGCTTTAAACCTCGTTACATCTAATCTGACTGAAAGAGTCACTAATGTTTATATAGACAAACCAAAAGGAGTTCTCATAAATGGGTCGTTTGTTTGATCTAAAACTGCTGATGAATCGGCTCTGAGTTGACAACCACTGAAAAAATATGAAAGCAGCCTTCAACTGCTTCAGGAAGACGCCTCACATGTGTGGATGGAAGTAACAAGGGGGCCAGAGGAAGAATAACGTGATTAAAGGGACGTTTTGGTGGTGAAAAATAAAAGCTGTTTTTGTATCGTGCCAACTTCGACAGGAGGCAAATATCCTCCATGAGACTGTGAGGGAGCCGCACGTGAGTGTGGGGTCTGAGAGGAGTGGAGTAGAGATACAGTTCATATAACACAACATTTAGGGCATCTAAATGTACATTTCACATTAGAACATTTACATTTTAAACCATACATACTCCCATGACTAAAAACATTTGTTAAATGACATCACTGCAGATACCCAGAAGATCAGCAGCTGAGTGGCAGTCACTGTCACTGTCACTGTCACTGTATGATGGTAAAGGTAAATATTTTATTCTAATGTGAAATATAGCAAACTGTTCTGCAATTTTTATTAATCTGTATTAACATATCTACATTTACATCCACAGTTCACTTTACTTATGAATAAATACTGTATATATAATGTAATTACTTGACTAAATGTTTAGGAGAATCACTGGAGAGTATTAATGACGGAGAAACTGCGTCCGGTGAAGCTTTATGGATACGAGTAGGGATGGGAATGATTAAATAACTGTACTTGTCAGCAACTGAGTCACTCGTTGTCTACTTAAAACTTAAGTTAAATGATGAATTGACAGTTTCTATATTAGCGCTTCACACCCCCGACTTAAATTAATTCACCATTTGTCACATGGGCTGCACAGAGGCTGACTGTTTTAAAGAAGTCTTATTGAAGGCTTTCTATTTATAGAGCAGCTGTCTCGTCAGTTACTCAACATCTGAATAACAGTCAGTAAAATCTGCCATACTTCCCATCCCGAGATCAAAGCGTTTGAACATCTAAAATCACCCACGGTGTCCCAGAACTAAAGCAGCCTTCCTAAAATAGCTGTTAGAGCTCCGTGAGCAGCATCGCTCTTTTGGACTGACTATAGCAGCATGTTTCTAGGACAGACTGCTATGTGCAGGAGGCCTGGGGGATCTGCAACCCCAACAGGCTCTCGGCACAGACACACACTGACAGAATCAGTCAAACTCAGAAGTAGAAATGATAAAAGAGTTTGGCATATCTTGTAATGAGACATCATGTATGCCATGTGGGTACAAATCTATTTCTAAATACAGAAATATTCAAGTTTGTTGCTCCAAGAGACCCAACAGTGATGAGGACGCTGTAAAAATGAACCAGAATCACACACAAAAAACTAATCTTTATCAGGTGATAAAAGTGCTTCCTGTACTATGAGTCCTAATAATACAGTTTGCCAAACTCAGGTTTCATTTCTATGATGTCTCAGTTCCTGTTTGGTGACGCTAAGAAGCCTTTCTAATATTTCAAGAGGCTTAATTCCATATTTTCTGACTTCTTTACCCCTTCAAACACGTAAACTTCAATTAGAAGTCTGTAGTATAAGATGACAGACTTAAAGTTAACCAAGTTAACTGCTGCCCCACAGACAGACAGACAGACGAAACACTGCGGTAGCAAGCAGCAGTTTCCATGGCAACTCTGAGGTAAAGCCGGGGAGGCTGTGATTGGCTGGCAGGCCGGGTCGGGTCGTACCATGTCGGAGGGTTTGAAGGGGTTCCCCTGGCCGCTGATGCCACCAGAGATACTGAAACCAAGACCAGGGTTCTTCTCTATTCTCACACACAACTATAGAGCGAGAGGAGGGAGAGAAAAAAGAAAGACAGAAAAGAAAGAAAGACAAGTGACAGTGAAATACAAAGATCATAATCTCTACACAGAGTAGATAGACAACATGGACAACGGGTGCTTTCATGTGATGTGTGACATGCTTTGGCAGCTATATTGGAGGTCCTCAGTTCTCTGGCAACAACAATCGAACCACAAATATCCTTGTCAGAGTATTTCTCTTTGGGATAATGAAAGCCATCTCATACTAGGAACGGGAAGACAAAGCAGGAAGATCAGCTGATCTGGGTGGTGTGAATGACTTTGTGTTCTTACCTCAACTGGTACACTGATTTCCATCTGTGAAATATCTCAGATTTAGAACGACGCCTCCGTGGCTTTTTCTAAGACTGTTTCCTCTAACAAACCGTTGCTGTTCGAGGCTAAAATTAAACTTACACTTCGCAGTTATTTTAATATTTTGTGTCCTTTAGTTGACAGCTTGTTGGCCTTATGTGGACCCCTCAGATTCCACTTGGTAACCACCATGTTCAGTTATTGACACATCTGATCTGGTGAGTTAGTTTACAGTTCTACCATTTATGTGTGCATTTGTCTCAATTTGTTCACTTCATGTTGTATTATTATTGCACCATAGTCGAATGGACCTACATCCACAAAACTAACATCCTTTCTAACCTGGTTAGTATATATTGAGGCATCATTTGAGCACAGCCCATTTTCAAACAGACCTCCAAGATAGTGCGAGATGAGAACAAACAGACAGATGGACAGACAGACAGATACCTGTTCCTGGAAACCATCCGTGCTCTTTTGGCCTTTGGTCTGCAACAGGCAGCGAGCGCTCTGAGGCCGTGGGTTGGTGTGGGTCATGACAACCTGATTGCTATGGACCATGCCCTGGTTACTATGGACCATGACCTGGTTGCCGTGGTACTGAGGGTTGGTGGCCGGCTGATGGGATGTGTGGGAGGAATGGGGGTTGTACTGGGGTTGGTTCCCAGATGGGGACATAGCCATGCTGGCGCTAGGGTAACCCTGTCCAGAAGCAGGATGGCCTGGACGGGGAAAAAAAGGAAAGAAACCGATTAAAAATTCCTATAATTGATAAATGTGTGGGCTGTTGATTTTAGACACATGGCCCATGTGTGAAATTTTACTCTGACCGACCAATGTGCTATTACTGGGTAATTGCAATTTTTAAATTGTAAAGTGGGGCAAATTCATTGACCTTTTTATGCTACAGTACCTTGAACTGAATTTAAGACAAATAAAAAAACTAAAAAATCTATCAGTACAAAACTTTTTGGAATAAACAGAGGCACACCAGGATATGCTAACTGGCTAACAAATGCTAATGGTAATATCTGGGCTGTTGGTGTTTTATGAGCTTTTATTACATCACTTTTTACCTGCCATGGAAACACACAAATACAGTGTGTCGATGACAGCTGAAAGGGGGCCTATTATGCTCATTTTCAAGTTCATACTTGTATTTTGGGTTTTTAATAGTCTGCACCATTATTCAGCTCCTCCAGGATCTCGCGGTAAAAATCCCTTGAATCTGCAGCCAATTTTGTCAAAAACTGTGATAAAAATTGCGGAATTTTTATGCAAATTTTTTTGCGGGAAATTGTGGCAAATGACAAAATTTGCGGCTGATGACAAAAGGAGAAAAAAAAAGTGTGTGTGTTTTTAAAGAAAAAAAAAAAATACTACCTCCACAAAAAATAAATATTGAATATTGTAGCTCACAAACCAGACAATGTGACTGTAAAACAGCATGTAAGCTCTTCTGTAAACATAACATTTTAATACATTCAACACATATTGTATGCATTTAAACAGTGCAAATTCTTATGTCAATACAGAGTGTTTCTCCATACTGCAATGCCATTAGCGCATTTGATGACGTGTCTGATGACGTTTCAAATGACGTTGCATGCACGACGACTTCCGGTCAACCGGAAAATGCGGAAAAATGCAGAAAAATCGTGGGACTTTTGAAAAATCACAAGGCCCCACAAATATTGTGGAATTTCGTTGAATTTGCATTAATTATTGTGAACGCAAGATCGTGTTTTTCTGGAGGGACTGATTACTGCAGCTGGGGGAATGACTGTAACGCAGTACGTTCTACTGTGAAAATTCACAAATCAAAGCCCCTAAATCAAAATTTTCACAACCCGACCAGTTCTAGCAGGACTATAATCAGAAATCGGAGAGAAATGAACAACATTATCAAACAAGAGTATATGTTTTACTGACATTAGCATGTAGCTACATGTAGTCACATGTAGCAGTGTACCTGCAGCCAGGAAATGACTGTAACAGTAAATAGAGGCACTTTCTATTGAGAAAATCACCAATAAAAACTTTCAAACACAACTGGAGATGTTCCAGCAGTAATATAAGAGAGAAATTAACAACATCAACAACCAAGATTACATGTTAGCTACATGTAGCAGTTTAGGCAAGGTAATGTAAACATATGCAGTAGCGTGCCTGGAGCAGATGACCATATAAAAGCAATCTGTCACCTGCTAGTGTAATCTTGTCTTGAAAGTAGGAAAGAAACGTTGGAAACAGTATTCAGGTTTTGGCTCACAGGGGTTACTTTGGCCATGTTTAATATGAATATCCTTCACTGTAAACTTAAATGACAAAAAAACAAGGAAAAGCATGATAGGTCCCCTTTTGTAACCAATTGTGCTAGTTTCATGCTGTGCTCAGCATGTGCTCAGTTACTGCTTGTAACCTCGATAATTAAAGTGTAGACATTATAACTCAAAGTGGTATCCTACCACCCAACCCCAGCGAGGCAATCAGTGAACTATATTTAAATGTATTGCCCTTTACCTTGAGACATGTTGCCTTGGTACTGCCCCCCAGAGGGAACCACTGACAAGGGCATCCCTGGTTGGTATTGGCCCCCTTTGTTCATCATTCCGTCGTAGCCCTGCTGCACGACCACACGATGAGGTGTAGTGGATGAGGAGGAGGAAGAGGAAGTGACAATCATGGTGTTGTGTGATTGGTGTGAAGGGTTGTGAGAGTGGGCACTCTGTGGACAGAAGAGGAGCAGTTAGAGACGTCAAAAATTGTTTTGGACAGACACGCTGATATCCACACCAGAGGAATGGTTACAGGAGAGTAGTTATTTGCATGTTAAAGACATTTTCGCTGGCTCCTCTCTTCCCTCCAAGCCTTAAGATCCCAAACAGCTATGCCGAATAAAGACAAAAAGGTGAACTGATCAGGCAACAACTCCCACCTTTTTCACGAGGTTGTCAGGTGGGACGTCCCTCCTGCCAAGTGAGTAGGGAGCCCACTGGTTGCTCCCTGACATTCCCTCCTGATCGTTATCCAGCATGGCAGCCTGCTGAGAGGGAGTCTGTGAGGGAGACAAAGGAAGCAAGACAAAAGGATCATTAATGAAAGTGAACATTTAACTTAAGTCATTAATTCATCTATCAGCCTTTGCCTGCCAGAGACAGGGTTATATGAATATTATATGAGAGTCTGTTGTTTTAAGGTGTGCATATTGTATGGCTGTAAGAGCTTCGTAAATTGATTATCCCTTCTGCTTGAAGTAAAATAATACATTTTGCAAAATAACCATCAGTCAACATGGAGTGATGACTAATGCAGCTGATAAATACAGTGTCAGTATAGAATTTATCTTGTATTGTCCTCTTACTTCTAACTCAAGAGCCTCTCATTTAAAGCCCCTCAGAACTTGGCATAACCAAAATTGTTTCGGTACAAAATCGTCAATTCACGTAGCATCCCATTACCCATAGTAAGAAGCTGTTTGAGAAAGCAAGTTTTCAGGGACTTTGGAAGTGACTATTTAGCAGGTAGCAGAAATGGTTGAATGTGGCGTAGACATGCAATGTCCAGTGGGGGCATATGTGAGACAACAAAGATCTTCCAATTTTAGGATGTTGAAGAAAATATTCTGTTTGTTGAGCTGCTTTGATCTCTGTTGTTTTGGTTACCTTGAAATATGGAAAGTGTCTTATAGCTGAGTCCAGACTCTTGAAATACCAATCCATCACCAGAATCGGTTCATTAGCTGCCACACTTGACGTTAAAGCTACAGCTGGTAACTTTTATGAAAATAATTGTGTCATATTTGCTGAAACTGTCACTGTATTCTGAGAGAAGTGCATGAGACAGATAGTCTGTGAAAAAACAATGTCCCTCCTCTTCTACTGCATCGAATGGTATTCCCTAGAATCAGGCAGGGTACGGGATGGCAGCAACAACCAATCTGAGCCGACGAGTTTAAAACGCAGCTGTCAATCATGTCAGTTGCTCCGTGAACTGCAGTCAAACTGTCAGACTAGGCAGTGTTGATCAAATATGAATCAAGATTCTGTTACTGCATTGCCTTTTTCTTGCCTCAAATATTTTCAGAGACATATCTGTTTCCAACATGGCAGCCAGGTCACAAATTAATTTCTCATTTTACAGCTAAACAGTACACTAAAATTTCCGAAAACATTTAAGGCGAGAAATGGGCAACAGAATCTTGATTCATATTTGATCAGAGCTGCCTGGTTCAAAAGTCTGACCACAGTTCACAAGCTGTGATTGACATGATTGACAGCTGCATTAGAGACTCCTTGGCACTCATTGGTTGTTTTTGTTTACATGAAGTAAAGCCACTGAAAGCACTACAAGGTACGAGAGTGGGCAGTATGATTTTTTTTCTCACTGCTCATCTGTCTCCTGTGTGGTTGTGGTGACAGCAAATATGACAAAGTCAAGATGCCAAAACTAAAGCGTATCAAACCCAGTTCAAAGTTCACAACTTGAGTTGGTAGACAAGGCAGTTTTAACAGTCTAAATTATAAAAGCAATAATGGCACACATTTAAATAATGGATAATGGTTGCTGTAGTTGGCTGAAGACGCAGTGGCAGCTATTCTCTATAATTACCTATGTGTGCAGTAATAACAGCAGTACCAGGGGTTTATTGTTCTCAGAGGGATACTCACAGCGTTAGCAGACGGAGGAGGAGGTAGTGGCAGCCAGCGGCCAGCAGGGGGCTCATGCTTAGTGTTATTGTAAAGGTTAAAGTTCAAAGTGCTGCTGCGCCCCTGGCCGTGACCCCCGCCCTGACAGAGCATGCCCAGCGTGAGCGTGTTGTGCTTTAGGACACCACTCTGATTGGAGAAGACAACATCACATGACATGGGTGAATGCAGGGGGAGAGGTGGGGGGCGGAGCCCACACAGCGGGCTGCAGCGTGGTGATAACACACTGTGAGCTCCACACACAAATAAACAAACAACAATAACACCGATAAAACAACAACAACAACAGTGCAGAGTTGCTGAAAGCACAGAGAAATGTTAGCTAGTGAGCGGTCAATACAGACAGAGAACATTGTGTCATACAAGCAACAACAGGTGGATCAGTTCATTCCAACATTAGCGTGTAAGTTCTTAAATTAGTTAAATGTGTTCATGTGTGGATATTTAAGAAACAATGAGCCCAATCCCTAATTAAAAACTGGTAACTGGAGAGACATTGAGACTGTGTGTTTCAATGCTTGATTTTAGCACCATCCCACAGCTCAGTCCAAATCATACATGTAGTTGGGTTTCAATCCAAATGTAGGGCAAATTCTGACCAATTTTTCAGAATATCAGTAAGAGAAAATGCGAATTAATGTACTTTTACATCCACTGCTGTTATGCAAATACTAGGAGTTGGTTTATCAAGATTAACAGTAGGGTAAAGCTGATTCTCCAGTCAGGTGCCACTGCAGAGGAGGGCGCGTTGAGATGATGTCATCAAAAGTGCCAGTCAGACCTCAAACAAAGGAAAACAATGGATGTATAGTAACAGAGAGCACAGTGGATGATGGAAATATATTGTTTTGCACAACTACTATTGCAGCTATGTGCTCTTGGAAGAGTTCGGGTAACGGCCCTGCATGCATGACAGTGTGTTAAATGCCGAGAGAGACGACAAAGAGAGCTTGCGGGGGCCTACATAATGACAGGACATCTGTACTGTACGTAATCATTTATTTGCTGAATCTGTTTCCATTGCACTTAGTCACATTAACCTTTCGTTAAATTGTTGTTTTTACACTTTCGTAGAAATTAAAGAAATGAGTAAGTGAGCTTTTCAGGATTTTCATAAAACTTGGTAGAAGGGTTAAGGATGGTCCAAGGGAGAAACCATTAAATCTTTGTGCAGATCTGAATCACAGAGCGGATACATTATTGACGCATCACACAATCAAATTTCTTGTCACAATGCAGGTTTTGTTGAATTACATTTCAGGACGTGATTTCTTCAGCACATATCCAGCGGTGAGTGTGCAGTAGGTCAGGCTGACAGAGCGACAGCGTGGATGGGACACACATGCAGCCGGACACATATCTGGTCAACCTTACAACACAGACTGACACAGATACAGACAGGGAGGGCTTCCGAATGCTGTGTGTGAGTGTGAGTGCATCTCCCTCTGAAGTGTTTCTGCATTGCAGTGACGTACCCTGTCCAATCGTTTGGCTTCTATGTGCCTAAGTAGCTGTTGCCTCCAATCGGCAGGCATCCTGGAGGTGATGTCTTCAGGCTTCTGTGCTACCACAGGTCTTACTTTGATGGTGTCGTCAGATGGTTTCTCAGGGCAGGTTGCCAGTGTGTAGTCAGGAGGCATTTTCTCCAGCAGGGCAGCCATGGTAGGACGAGCTGACACTGGACGGGCCTGAGGATAAAGGGTTAATATTTTATACAGATGATAAGAAATTAAGTAGGACTTGACAGTTTTATTTAAAGCTGCATTAATCAAAACCTCTCCATTACCAAAAGAAAAAATAATGTGTGTGTGACAGGGTTTACGTGACCAAACCATAGAGAATTAGCACCAGATTTGCAGTTCCCTTCAGCTCTATGGAGAGTTTTAGCATCTTTCAGGTTTGGTTTTAGTGCCCCCAACCCTAATGTTTCAGTTCACCACTGTCATCTACCTTCTAGTTGCAGCAAGCAGATAATTACAATGAAAAAATGCTGTTGAACATAGTGGGGCAATTAGTTGCTATTTTCCCTGGGGACTTGGTGAAGACCAAAACAAGCTAAAACTGGGCTTATATTTATGAAGTGATAGAAACCAGAACTAACAAGAGTTAGTTTGCACTTTCGCTGGTGGTACTGTTTAAAAACAGTAACTGACAATCCCTGCATGGTATACCTTTAACATACTGCATGTCAGATGTGTTTACAGCTTGCTGCACTACCAAAGTGACCAAACAGTCATTTAATGTAGGTTTAAAGAACCATGCATCGCATTTTGTGCTCCTTGAGATAAGAGCTACATTCCATGTAATCTGAGACGACACTAAAATGATAGCACTCTATGTTTATTCAAACAGCCTGAGGCAACTTATGTTCATAGTTTCCTAACAAGCAACGTCTTGCAGACAAACAAATAATAACTGACCTCAAAAAGGAAAGGAAGACTGCAGTAATGCAGACACTATACCACACTATATTGGAGAAGATGAAGCTTAGTCTAAAGGTGAAGCTCTTTACATAACAGGTGATATATATATGTCAGACCTTCACTTTTGGCCTTTTGGCTTTGGCTAAATACTACCAGAATCAGACTGCAGTCAGAAGTGCTCAATATTAGTTTCCTAGTTTTGTTCCTGTGCCCTGTACGTTTGTGCTGAAAGGTGCCAGATGAGGTGCTTTGCGCCTCTGATCAGTATGCTCCTGGACACCTCTCTGTGGCTATTTTTGGAAAGTCTGACTTGGGGCAAACCCAGAACATGCTGAAGGGATTATTTATGTATTTAGGGGATTGCCTTGGAAATCTGGGGGATATGGCTGAAGCAAAGGACACCTGAGCTACTCTGCTTAGTCTGCTGCTACAGTGACCTGTACCTTGGTAATTGGTGGAAAATGGATGAATAAAAATGCTTCCACTCAGTCATTTACATACTCTGTAAGTCCACACACCTCTGTATCAAAAAAGGCTAGTTGTCAGTACCTTCTAGAAAATTACCCAAACAAGCACTCAATAACTAAATAGACATGGGAAAGGTTAGGGAGAGATGGTGGTCATGGTTAAATGCCACCAAAGTTTACTGCTGTTATGAGACAGGATTCAAACCTCACAAGTCTTTTGTTGAGCTATAAGAACATGTCTACTTGCCTTTTGAACACGAACAAAGGACATTCTTTTGGACATTTTAAAGCTGTTTGAACCAATGACCAATGCAGACACTTATCTCAAGTACAAAGAGTGTGTAATGCAGAATAACAGTATGGCTATTTTTCTCTCTTCTTGTCGTTATGTCTTTGCTGGTTTCCTGGTATTGGCTTTTGAGCCAGTATTAAAGTATGAGTACATTCACTAATCAGTATTTGAAATAGCTATTAGTTGCAGCCCTACTTGTTTTAATTGTGACATGTTATGAGAAAGCAAGTTAAATCAACATAGTTAATTAAAACGGGACACAAACGCGATGGCACACAGTTTAAACTGTTTTTATCAGTAGCTCAGGTGATAGATATTCTACCTGAGATGCTCCGTAGGTCTCAGTACTGTAGCTCCTGGCAGACAGGGGGCGACGCTGAGTCAGGCTCTTGGTCGGATAGCCAATCATGGGCTTCTTCTGTTCCTGGTATGTGGGATAGTCGTCATCGTAGCGACCGTTTCTCTTGTTGTGCATCATCTGGCTCTGGCTGTCGGCCATGTTGGTGAGGGCAGAGTGCTCCATTTGGGTGGAGTAGGGCAGAGCCCGGCCATAAAGAGGGGGGTCCGCCTGAGGAGAGGAGAGTTCACAACTATAACAGAACCCTACATCAACTCAAAAATGTATTGTGGGAGGATGTGGGGGACAGATTTCAACTGACTTGAAACTTAATGCTTCTATGTCACTGTTTATTCAATTAATTTTCAACAGTTTGACTTCACGCAAAAAGAAGCATTATTTTGCAGACAACAGATCTCCTACCTGCTGTCTGTACTGAGCTTCCTGCAGCGCCTCCTGCTGGGCTTCATGGACTCTGCGGAACAAAGCGAGCTCTGTGGAGCTCACCAATGAATCTGCTCTCCTCAAAAATCCAGGCCTGGAGCGCTGTGTTGGGACTGGCTGCTGATGCTGGCTGGGCTGACCATCCTGGGTGATTGGTGATTGGGGGAAAGAAAACATCTCAAGTGGTGGATACGCACGATACCGAGGGCTCACCAGCTCCTTGGGTAATGTCTTCCCTGGTTGATTGATGTACTCCAAGGCCTTCGATGAGTGGTTGACGTAGTCTGGTGTGTTGGGGAAGGGGGGAGGGACCCGACGGTCCATGGTCACCTGATTGGTTAGAATGGTTACCAGTAAGTCCATGAAAAGTTTTAAGGCATTGATATTGGCATAAAAATTGTTTTGACTTCAGAGTTTTTAGTTTACTTAACTTGTTGAGAAGATTATGAATAGAGTGTCTGAACACCTCCTGAAACCTGTGTCTTTCCTGACCTCTGGAGGTTTGTCTCATCTTGTTACAGCGAACTTTTAACATGTACTACATGAAAGCTCTTCCATAATTAAAAATTCAACAGAATGAGCACTAAAACAACAGACATACACAGTTAGAGACGAGCTGGTAAACATCGTGGATTATTTAGCAGCTAAAGAGCCAGACATTTCCCTCAGGAGTTGGTAGAGACCAAAAACAGAGCTAATAGTGAGAGAAAATTGAACTGATATTTGCCAGGTATCCTGAAACATGGCTCTAAATAAAACAATGCTTCTCTAGCATATTACTTAAAAGGTGAGGATAAGTCAAAGTTGTGTTCACAACTTATTTCTGCTGCCCTCAAGTGGCCCAAAAAAAAGAGACGAGCTGCTAACCTGGGGGTTGTAGTTATGGTCAAAGTGGTAGGCCTTCTGTGGGATAGCAGGTTTTTGGTTCTGTCCCGACTGGTTCTGGTTGCCTTGTCCTGGGAAGACCAGGTCATCATCTAACATGGGGGCAGACTGTGACCGTGACATGTTGGTCTGCTCCATAGAACCAGGCAACTCTTGACGGTCCAAACTAGTCTGCTGCTCAATGGATGAACTGTAGCTGTCCATGGGGATACTGTAGAGAGAACAGAGAGAGAAGTCAGCTACAAATTTGTTATCACCTCATACTCTTATTTTTAAGATAACAACAAAACTAAACCTACCTATAGACCTTGTAGGAGCCAATGTCAATCTCATCAATGCTCTGTGACTTCTTAAACTTGGATCTTGTCTCCCTCATCATGGGGGACAGGCGGTCCGAGCTTTTACTCATCACCACGGTCACCTTGTTGCCCCCGCTGACACTAAGCTGATCCTTCCTGTTCTGCTCCCCCTGATTGTCATGGTACGTCCAACTTCCAGGCAAAGGCCCTGCACCTTGTTCCATCCTTGGGGCACAAAACAAAGGATAGTGTTACACAAATATGAGCCCAAAAATGAGTTGGACTGGAGCAGTTTTATATTAATATAACCAGGAAAAAAGATGGGTGAAATTGGGTGCAGTTATGTCTAAAATCAGGTTAGTGTTAGTACCAGTGAGATCAGAAATGAAGAATGGGTCCAGCAGCTTCATAGCAATCATTTTTGCACAAATATTATAATTGCATTTTCCTGTAGATTATCTACAACCAACCAGTGGTTGCATTAGCCCAATATTTTTTGTCATTGACTTAATCTTCTTTAACAATTACGGAAAAAAGGTTGTCCATCATTCTGACGAATAAGCACACTGAGTGCAATCTACAGTAACTTCAAGTGATTCACACCCCTGTCCAGTTGGTGGCACGTGCATATTAATTAGCTGTTGTCTAGTGTTGTCTTTGTTATCACATGCATGTCCTTGTTATCTAGTAGGCTTTAACCATCGCATTGGTAGGCTACATGGTTACATGTTGGCAAGAAGAAGAAGAAGATATACTTTATTAATCAATTAAGGGGAAATTAAATTTTTTCACTCTGTTGTCATATACACACACATGCACAAACAGAAACTATACATACATTAAATGGAGAGATGTCAGAGTGAGGGGGCTGCCCATGAACAGGCGCCCCAAGCAGTTGGAGGTTTGGTGCTTTGCTCAAGGGCACCTTGGCAAACTGACACCTCTCCAGCTACCAGTCCATGCTCCGTATTTGGTCAGGATGGGGACTTGAACTGCTGACCCTCTGGTTCCCAACCCAAATCCCTATGGACTGAACTACTGCCACCACCTTGTTAAGAAATGAGGTGAAAAAAGAGGGACTGATGCGGTGGAAAAAAAATCCTTTATCTGCTTTGTGTGGTGTTGACATGAAAAATGACTGCAGTCAGTGTCTCTGTTCTTTTTTTTTTTCTCATGCCCTTACACATGCATAATCAATGAGCTTCTATTAAGTAATATAAAATGAAAATTAATGAATGAAATGAAATGATATTAACCTAAATATGTCTTATTAACATGAAAAACGAAAATTAAAATGACAGGTTATGATAGATTTTGATTTTTACAACCCTGTTCATCACACTGACGGACAAAGAGAAAGTCGGATGCAACCTCTGCTGCCAGCATCAGTTGGTTTATAATACAGCAGTTACTCACAGACTGACATTTGAGATTAGGAGTGCAGCTAAAAATTATTGTCCTTAATTTGTTGATTATTCATCTGGACCAAAAATTAAAAAACAAATAGAAAAAAATCACATCATTAACCTTGATGAAATGTAAATGATTCAGTTTACAAGAATATAAAACAGAGGAATATGTTGTGAAACAGTGTTTAGCATTTTTGCTTGACAACAAGCATAAATATTTAATTCATTATTTGCTGATCAACTTTTCTATTAATCGACTGCTTTTTTGAATATCTGATTATTTGAAAGTGAAAATAGTCAAAGCTGGAAAGTTTCAAAACACAGGATATTATTACAGAGCACTGTTTCTCTGTTATCTGTTGTATAAACCCAGAAGTACAATAAATTGGCTGATCATGATACTGAAGCTTTAACCAGAAAAAAATACAAACATGGTAAAAGTGCGAATGCAGCTGTGATGGTTCGCTGAAATTAAAACCCGTGGGTCATAAATCCCTCCACATAAACACGTACACATTTCAGGGTTGACTGTGGGACTGTTGGAGCTCCACTCAGTTACCTTTGGTCCATGTCCTTGCGGTCAGGGTTGGGGCTGGAGGTGGGCGTCAAGTCCAGTTTGGAGGGAAAAGCAGTTCGGTCCTCCAGCGGGCTGGGGGTTCTGGTCCAGTTCTGCCAAGGATTCTGGGAAGGATGTCCAGAGGATTGTGGGTCATTGTCCGGAGTGGAGCGTTGGTTGCCGTGGAAGGGGAGTGTCTGAGTGTCCAGCTCCAGAGGTACTCCTACGATTCGCTCCTGCCTGAGGAGGGGGCGGCGCCCGTGTGTTGACTGGCTGCGAGGTTTGGAGCCCAGAGGTGGGTTTCCCTGACTCCCAGTAGAAGATGGAGGGTCCAGAGGAGACTCCTCAGCATCAAAACCTGTGTTGTCATAGTGAGGGGCCTCGGACCAATCAAAAGGCTCGCTCAGCGGGCGTCGATCCCCGCGCTGCTGCAGGGTTCCTGATGGAGGAGTTTCTCTCTGAGATAGCAGGGGCTTGGAGTCAATGGGTTTGGGGAACGACTGAGCCAGTCTGCAAAGACACAAAATATCAAACACCAATTATGCTGTGGAAAATAATAAAATGGACTGAATTATACTAAAGTGCCATACTTCATCATTATGAGCTGTATATTTAATCAGAGCCGATGGGCACTAGAACAACATGACTTTCTCTCCCTCTCTCTGATGTCTCTCTGGAAGATCAATTTGGCCAACAACCATGTTTGTTGTAATTAATGTTTTGCGAGAGCAGCCTTGGACAGAAAACATTAATGCCTTCAACCTCCCTCACTGCAATTCGCAGTTTGCAAATACCACATTTTTCACAAGTACACAGACTAAGGGACAAGTATACAGATTGTGATCTGTACATCACCCCAGGGCGTGTGAAATGACAACTTTAATGTCAAAAAATACCAAAGCGAGCTTTTAACCTGCAGGGGCTCCTGCAAGTTAAAAGAACGAGGCATGGGAAGAGTGAGGACAAAGAAATGAGTTTTTAACATTATTATAGATGTTCTATTCCACTGATAGAGGAATGGAAAAGGTTACTGTTCTCAAAAAAACAAAAAACACACAAAATATCTGCTCAGGCGTTGTGGTGTCAGAGAGTAAACAGAATAACCAAACTAGCATGGTACAAATCCAACTTTTGCTATGAGACTCCTGAATCGTTAGATCACTGGTTGGGCTTGTGTGAACATCTGGTACATTTTTGTTCCATCATGATATGTTACATGTCACGTCAACTGTTACATATCAAAACAGTCCCCATTTACAAGGTTGTAAAATTGTAGAAAACAGTAACACAAATAGAGAATTTTAGCAATGCAGTGATATTAAAATGTGTAAATTACTTGCCAGTAATACAGCACGCATTCTACTTAGAATAGATGCTGATACAACAGTCTGCACCAACACTGAAAGTTAGAGCTGGACCAGTAATTAGCTAGTAATTGGAAATTGGAAAATGCCAAAGATATATTTGAAACATTAAAAACGCTGTTACAAGATCAATTTTCAACTGTAAAATGTCTTCCTCAGCACACATTATGGTCACAATAACAAAACAAATTTGAGGGATTCTTACCAAAAACTGTATGTTTATGTCATGTGTTGATGTTAAAAAGCGAGTGTCTCAAATCTAGTCAATGGTATCAGGCTCCAATCTTCAGTAACATTAAGGCTATATACTGAAAATGTCATAAATATGGCTGGCAGTTTCAGTTGAGCTGATTGTTGTTGTCCATAGCTGTAAGATTTTTGAACAACTCAGTTTCAAAACAAGCTTTGTTAGGGCCGTTTCATAGTCGACGCAGGCAACGCGAGCAAGCAACGCAAGTGACACGAGCAACACACTTCCTTTCACAGTCAACACATTGAACACAAGCGACACGGGCGACATTTGAAATGCAATACATCGCTCGTGCAACAGGGGGTAGCAGAGTCACCAGTACATTCCAGCAAGCTAGTACTGCTGTAGCTAGCTAGTACTGCTATTTTATTAGAGTGCAGGGCACTAGAACTGTCATATAAATGGGTTGCATTATCACCCCCGCTGGCAACGCATGGTGTTACACACGTCGCTGCGTCGCGTATCAAAAGAATGGACAACACATTTTGAGACGCAAGCACGCATCATGGCGTCCCAATGCGTTGGTGTCTGCGTGCCTTTGCGTTGACTATGAAACAGCCCTTAGTTTTCAATGTGATATATGCTATATTATGTATCTAACATCATCATAAGTGCACTGCAATCAAGGTAACATCTTCAGTCGAAGGACCAAACCTCTTTATTCGCTTCTCTTTATATGTTGGTATAAAATAATCCTATATATAACACCAATGCCTGGACTGGACAGCTTTGAAACACAGAAGAGAGCTGAGAGTCCTGAACAGAAGTCTGCAGCATCCTAATGAGTCTCTGTGACCTTGACTGAGTGAGCGGAGAGATGAGAGAGACACAGAAAGATGGAGGGAGGAGAGGAAGGATGGAGCGATTGGATAGATGGATGAGATGAATGATAAATGGAGGAGATTGAAGGGGGTTGAAATCGAAAGAGAAGAAGAGATGATGGATAGTTGGAGGGAGGGACAGCCATCAGTGATGGAATGGAACATGAAGTCAACGTGTGTGTATCTTTGTGTGTGTACCTGTTGGTCCAGTGTGTTTGAGGGGCCTGGTCCTTGCTTGGGGCCGGTAGGGCGGGAGCGTGTGGGTGTGCGTGAGAGAGTGTGTGTGAGTGCGCGTTGCCGGGTGGGTTGGAGGAGCCGGAGGAGCCCTGTGAGGGAGAGTAGTCGGAGTAGGTGGCTGAGGAGCCGCTGTGGTTCAGACAGTGGAGCTTATCCACCTCCTCATCTGTGGACTCTGGACAGAGACAGATAGACAGAGAGAGACAGACAGCTCTGCTCAGTGAAAATGTCACATCCTCTTCTTCCTGATAGCCCTCTTTTACGAGTGCTAAAGTGCCTTTGTGTCATGTCTGAAAAGAAAAACCCTGTCTGTATCTGATCCCTTTGGATTTGATTTCTTGCCTCAGATCTTTATCAAAATACCAGCTAATAATACTTGTATTGGTAGTGTTTTGGTGACTTAAACCACACTTTGACGGCCATATTTCAAAATGACAATGACAGTAGTTTCTGCTGACTGATTCCTGAAGGTACAATGTGGACATCTGAAAAAAAGAAAATGAACACACATGGCTAATTTCTGTTTTGCTTTAATCATTGTTACTCAACATCTGATTGATTTTGTGTTCAAATTTGATGATCTTAAAGGAATACCTCACCCCCAAATGACTATATGTATGTCAGTTATTCACCCTGTTGAATTTGGAAAGAAAATCTTGCATGCCCCCAGAGTGAAGAAGAATCCAAAAACTGAGAAGATTTCTGGATAAATTTACAGGTATGTGTTTTACAACAGCAAAACTACATCGACACAGCTTGTGCAGTATCATCCAAGTCTCATTTATCTGGTCGTATGCTCAGTACTTCCAGTAACACTTTACTTGAAGGTATCTACATAAGGGTGACATGACACTGCCATAACTATGACATGACACTGTCATGAACATTATGTACATGTCATAAATGTTTATGACTGCTGTCATTATGTGTCATTTGGTTTTTGTCATGACAGGTTGACATTGTTTGGCTTGTCTTGATTATGACAACTTGACATTAATTAAAGTGACATTACCAGAAGATGTCTTTGTCATTGGATTCTTCTTTACCGTGGAGGATTGCGAGACAAAAAAGGTTTCTTCACAAATTCATGGTGACACGGGGTGAGTAAGTGACATACAAATGATCATTTAGGGGGGGAAATACTCCTTCAACATATTTGCTTTCTGCTATTTCTGTCCAAAGCAACTATTAGCTTGGCAGGGAAACAAGAAGCTCCATGGAAACACAGCCAAACAATGTTTTCAGTGTTTGAACAATACGATTAATTCAACAGATAATAAAAGAAGAATAATAAGACATTTATTATGTAAAACTGTACTCCATGTGCTGCCCAAATATGAGGATTACATTAGCTTGAAAATATGAGCTTTCTGTTTCATAACATTGTAAATGATATAAAACAGAGAGAGAAAGTAATTTAAAGACTTCAACTTTGGGTCTAGGAAATTGAAATGGGCATTTTTCATTGTTTTCTGATATTGTGTAGACTATCTAAAGAAACCTCAGTCCCAGCTCCACATTTGTTTTATGTTTTTGTCTAACATGTAGGTTGAAGCTGAGGGGGCAAAGCTAGTCGAGCTAAGAAATGATTCTCACATGGAAACCAACAGAGCCTACTGTACGATTTCACATTTTTAATCTTGTGTTAAAGATACAGACCCTTATTAGGACAAAGTAATCCTCCTAAATCCCAGCTCACCGCTTGGTTATAGAAACGGAGCTGTGAACTGTGTTGGCAAAGCTTTAAAAGCTAATAAAAGCTACTGTACAACAGAATCACTAAGTTTATCCAGAATGCTGTTTATCCTGTATACTGTATGAAAGACAATGAAAGGTTGACGAATCACATTTCTTTCTTAGTCTTGTCAGCCGCTTCTTAACCCAGATTCCTGTGGTGCTCTCATTATATGTTTGGACAATATTGAGTCCACTGCACTGACGCAAGACATGGCCTGGTTATAAAACACGGGTTTAACAGTTTTAAAGTCTTTATTTAACCACACTAGTCCCATTTAAATCAAGAAGCTCTTTTGAATGGTGGACCTGGAAAGAAATCAGAACCAAAACAAACCCAACAGTTGCAGAGAAACATAAAGGCGGGGCCAGGGAGCAGCAGGCTCATGAGTCAAACCTATTAAGATCTTGACAAACCAAACCAAAGGCAGCTTCTTATTAACTTCACCACAAGATCCTTTATTAAGAATTTACACTCACCGGGAGAGACAAGCCATTTGTGTTTTTAATCACTTCACTGTGAGTTCCCTGACAAACGAGTAGATTACATGACGGAGCGCTCAGAGCTACAGCTCGTCACTGAAAAGAGATAATAAACTGTTTTGGGATTAAGGCAGTAAATTATTTTGAACAAAAAAAGGATTTTTGATAGGGCGGTAAAATTAGCTCTGGGCTAAGCAGTAAATCTTTAGTTTACCTCGGATGAAATTGAGGCCTTCAGGGCAAATAAGTAAAAAGGGTTGAGCTAAAGGCTGAACACTTCAGACTAAAACGTATATTCACTGTAGAGGTTTATGGTATTCCCTCTCCTTCTCCGTTATGTGCTGAAATTAATCCGCTTACCACCATGATTAATTAGTGGACATTATTACAACATGCCCCAAAGCGCTTTACAATAGACCACATTAAATTACTGTGTGTGCTGCATGTGCGCGCCCATGTGTCTCCGTGTATGTGTGTTGCTGTACATGTAAAGTATCATACCTTTCTTGTCCTTCCCCAGCAGCACCACCTTTGGTTTGTACATAGGTGGCTCCACCAGGGTGGGCCTCATGTCAGAGATGCGGATGTCGTTGGGAGAGCCACCCATCGAGTCCTGTGGAGAGGAGAGACAAACGCCACAGGTTCACATCAGGTAACTACAGTACAGTGACATAACCTTTGACAGCCTAGTTAGGGAACTTACGAGGTAATAGCAGTACAAATTTCAAGCTCATCAGTTTTTAACCTTGTAGAAGATCTGAATAAGGACCTTCATGACAGGGAGACAGGGAAGAGGAAGACTGCCTGATAGTAAACATGGGTGTAAAAAATGCAGATTTTAAAACAATTTCTTAAAAATCATCTTTGCAAAAGTTTTTTGAGGAAGGAAATTAATTCAACATGTTTGTTAGAAACAATGCATTTTGGTGAGTAACACTGACTGTAAAGGCTTTGTTTGTTTTTCAAGAAAACCCCACAAGGCCTCTGAGTGCTTAATTTCTAGATTGAAATCATTGCTTATAACCCACTCTAAGTGTGTGGTGATGTATTTATCTGCAGAGACTCCGTCCTCTGCCTGTATTTTCTTATTTAATTCTTATTTTGTTGTGGTCAGGACACTTATGGGCGTGTAGCTCCCTGCCAAAACCAGCATGCAGATGAAGTCGGGACTTTCTAAAATGGTAGTGATCAGGTAGCAGCAGCGTGCATCCAAGAGGAAGCTAAAAATAATCACACACAGCGGCAAAAAAATGGAGATATAGAAAGCCAAAACGCCAAGCGGATAAAGCTTGTTCCAAAACAAAAGTGGATCTGGGGTTGGCTTTTCCTTTCACTTTTGTTTGTAAGCACTGGCGGTGAGGATGAGAATAAAGAGCGATGAAGAGTTGGTCTTCTTTTTTGTTGGAAGCTTAGTTGGCTTGCTAAAGTCTTGACTGTTTAAACAAAACAATGTAATGTTCTAGCAATAGTACATTAGCTTGCAGTGTATGTACAAGAAGTGTAGAGAGGAGGGGCCCTATATTACATTTACAAACAGTAAGCAACAATTCCTCCAGATATGTCTGAATCTATTGTGTGTGTGTGTTAGTGTGTGTGTGTGTGTGTGTGTGTGTGTACGGCACACTATGTGACAAACCTCAGAGCTCTCTGTCAGGTCTTCTTTGTCCTTCCTCTTGGGAATGTCAATGCCAGAGTTATGCATTGATCCCTGATCCATTAGCTGAGACTGAGAGAAGTCCTGCATCTCTCTGTCTGTCACCTGGAAAACACACACACATACACACACAGTTAATTTGTGCTCAATCCTACAGATACACTGGTTTATACTATTCAGTATGGTGATACTGAATGCATTTGTGCGCACGCATGTGTGTTTCCTACCTCTTTCGGAGGCAGGGGCCACGGTGGTTCGTACTGGTCTTTGCTGAGGTGTGTGTGTTCCATGTTGGTTCCTGCCGAGGTGGCAGTGCCTGTGCTCAGCTGGTGCTGGTGCTGGTGCTGGTGTTGATGCTGGTGCGGGTGCCCGTGTCCGGTGTGTACGCTCTTACCCACGAGGCTTTGCACTGACTTGACCATGTTCTTAAGGTCCTCAGGGTAGGGTGTTGGGTAGCGCTTGAGGTTTATCTCCACCTGCACACAAAGAATGGAAATGGGTTGAGTGTACACATGCAAATGAAGGACACACACTGAGTAAGAATGTGGTGGGAATGTAAACATGAAACTACAAAACATTGCAAACAACACGAGTACAGTTGAAAGATTATTTAATGTTGTCTCTTGCTAATATTTTGTCAGTCACTGCTAATTTGAATACAGTCACTGACAGACAAAACACAAGCAATTTGGGAAGAACTGCAGGTTACTCAGCAGAAAAATGTGTAAATCTCCTACATCCTTTAACAATACTAGTTACTAGTGCTTCATTGCCCACTCCAATACTGTGCCTGACATGATAAATATCACAGATGCAATACATACAGCAAAGAAATACAAAGATAGTAGAGGGTTGAGAGCAATGCAAAAACTGGAGTCATATAGTTGCTCCCGCGGTCTTGTACCTTTGACTTTTCCTCAATGAGACAGATATTTTCCAGTACATTTGCTCACTGTTTGTACTGATGATTCAACATTGGAGAATTTCATAATTCAAAAGTTGGAGGTGCTCCAGCAGGCCACTCAGTTAACGCTGTCTTTGTAAAACTTGGATATAAACCATGGCTGCCTCATATGACCCCTCGTGCTCAGTTAGTCTTAGGACAGAAAGACAGACAGACAGATGGGCGGACAGGGAGACAGACAGATATATACAGACAGACAGAAACAGAGAGATAGAGAGCTGACCTTGACCTTCCCAGAGTTGTCTTCCTCTTCTTTCTTGTCCTCAAAGTCAAAGGCCACGGTCATCCTCTGCTGTCTCTGCTCCTCCCACAGAGTAGGATTAAAGCTGTCACTGTCTGACTGGTAATCTGGACACACACACACACACACATACACACACAAACAATGAGGGCAGGGTTAAAACTGCTATTATACAGTAGGTCTGTGGATTGTCAGACTAACACTGATCCATGCACAAATACTGCTGCATTCAATTCAGATGTACGTTCACAACCACACAAGTAACACACACATTCATTCATGCATAAAAACACTGTCACACATGACTTCAGAGCACATGACATCCTATAATGTGACAAATGCTAATGCTGTTATGAAGCTAAGTGCATTGAAAAAAATACACAACACTGACCTTTTTAAATGTCCTTAAACCATGTCTATCCATTCATTATGACACACCCACAGACACACACACCCACACCCACACAGTTTGTACCCTCGTCATGCCGCGGTTGCTGAGGAAACATGTAGTTGGTCAAAACCTTCTGTTTGGTTTCAGGGTGGGCTTCTGTCTGCAGTGGGATCAGAGCCTTAGACTGCAAACACAGACACACATTTATATTAGTATTCTTCAGGGGATGTTTACTGATCACATAAGTCCTAATTTAAACCTGAACTTACCTCTAATTCTGAAAGACAAAAAGGTGGTTGTTTGAATATCTGACTGACTGCAGGAAACTTAAGTTTATTCAGAGCTTGACTTGAAACAAAACCCGCCTGACTAATAGGTGAGAAACAGCCAAAGTATTCATGTAAATCACTTGGAAAGAATTTGCAAATCAATTTCCCCAACGGGAAAAATGAAATTCATAGAGGGGAGACAGTAATTCCCACTTTACATTGCTAATACAAATTGAATTTTGCAATCAGAACAGTGAGTCAAATGAATTGTCAAATTGCCTCTTTAATTTCCATATTCACCACATATAAAAACATTGAATGATATCTATTTAAATGGTAATATGCTGTAAATATAAATGGCAAAGCACACAGAAAGTCAAAATATATTAATGCAATTGAATTGTCATTTTCTGATTTGGTATATGAATTAAAGAAAGCCACTCATAAACCCTTCTGCACTTCAGTTTTGTTGACGAGAATTTTCTGGCTGCCAAAGTTGCCAGTTGTAATGCATGAAATGCCAAGTGCAAAGGACATCACTGAATCTGATCTCGAATTTTGTTATATGCCTACATGAGAGCCAACTTTAAATGTAAATGAAAGACTGAATTGCCATTTTACAAATTACATTTGAATTTTAAATGTCTTCTTCAGCAGTTTAAATTGGACCCGGTGTTGTTGTGACTTCGATTTTATTCATTGAACAACTTTGATTAAACTTTAAATGTCATGAAGGATATTTTTGTATTATGAAAAACACTAGAGCTGACAACAAAATAACACATGGTCATAGATGGAGCCATAAATCTACATACTTGATTTACACCACTGTATGATACTGTAGTGTCACATTATCAGCACTCTCAATACAAATGGCTAGACAGTGGTTAATTTTATGGAGATTTACATGCAGTGGTTATCTGTTTAATATGAATCTTTACAGTGTTTGTGTGTGTTTGTGCTGCAAACTTGTTAGCATGTACAGAGGAGAGAGATACCTGATTGTCAGAGAGCCAGAGAGCTGCCAGGTCCTTCAGCTTAGTAAAGGTAAACGGTAGATTCTTTAACCTGAGAGAGAGACACACAGAGGGAGGGAGGGAGGGGGAGAAATAAAAGAGAGATGTTCCTTATGCCCACGCACTGTACAGCCTGCAGAGCGGGTAACCATGGCAACACACTCACCCATTCCCATGGTAAATGCAGGCCGTGAGAGCAGCTACAGAAGCAAAATGACCATTGAGAAAGTGTTGCCTGCATGTGTGGGGGTGTGGGTGTGTGTGTGTGTGTGTGTGTGTGTGTACCTTTTGTCACTACTGAGTCATACTTTGGTCATCTGCGCGTGTGTGTGTGTGTACCTGTTGTCACTGAGGTTAAGGACTCGTAGTTTGGTCATCTGTCCGATCTCATCAGGAAGAAACTCCAGTTTGTTGGACCGCAGCGACATTACCGTCACATTCTTACAGTTACCGATCTGAAACACAGACACACACACCGACCATCAGATCACATTACAGTTAAGTATTGCAACGAAAATGATCCGCCGCAGGAGGGACAAGCTACATTACAGAGATGTGTCTGAAGGATATTAGGGCTGCAGCTATTGGTTTCCTTGATACATTGCTTATTTTCTCTGACCAACAGTAGAAAAACAAAAGAACCAGCAAATTTTCACAACTGACCCTTGGCTAAGTCCCACCCCTTTTACACAACCTGGCCAATCATCGCATAGCATCATCCAGACAGTTGTCGGACAAGAGCATGACAACTATATAGCTGTGATCCGTAGGCTCTCATGCAGTTGTTGCAGATTTTCTTTATTTTCAGGCTGGTTTTGCAGATTTCAATCTAAATGTCGTGCATGGAAAAATGGCACCCGTTATCCTGAGAGGTTGGAAGGAGATATATATTTCTTTATTGTTCCAAAACCAAACTCAAACCCTGAAAAGTGTAGGGTTAGCTAGCTACTGAAGGTATAGCCTACTGAATGTATCCAAATGCTGCTTTTGCTTTTTAATGATTATAACAGTGAATAAAGACCCACCCTGCTTTACACAAACAACGGGGGGAAACAAGGAAACTGTCAATTTTCAATCAGCTGTGTGTCACTGCAGTGTGTGCAGATGAACAGTGTTTGTTAGGGGATTAGGGGAGCCAAACACAACTCATCTGTGCACACTAAAATGGCACATAGCTGGTTGAATATTGGTTAAGTTTCCCCTTAATTTCATTGTCTTGATTGCCAGGCAGTGGTTCACTTTTACACTGTGATCTGAATGTCAGACTTTAGCTTATATCAGTTTTTGCTGCTGAGTGAGTTTGACATCACAAACACTCCAGTCTTCTGTCAGCTTCTCTCTGAACCCCTTTAAAAAATTGATTAAAGTTCTTCAGGGAGTGCAGTTTTAGTTCAAGTGTGGGCTCCATATTAGCTCAGACAGCTTGATGGACCATCACAAAGGGGCGGTGCTTAGGGAAGGGTCATTTGAGAAGCTGGTAGCAGTACATTTATAATATTTGTTGATTCAAAAATCATTCAAATAATTAATCGACTTTCATAATAGCTGCTGGTTAATTTTTCCGTCAATCAACTAATCGTTACAGCCCTAAATAATATGAAGGCCAGCACTGCAGTGCAGATATGAAAGTGTTCATCATGTGTTAATCTTCCTACCTCCCGGGGCAGCTCTGAGAGGAAGTTCTCATCAGCAGCAAAGGTCCTCAGGCTGTGCAGGTAGCCGATAGTGGGAGGCAACGACTCCAACTCATTACAACTACAGTCCAACTCCTCCAATAGAGACAGACTGGGTGAAAAGAACAGAGACAGAAAAGAAGAGATGCAAAGAAAAATGACATAGAAATTACTCTGCGGGCTGCAAAATCTCTGCTGCAACCTTAGATTACTCAGACTTGCTTAAGTTTTAAGAGGATAAGGATGGTGCTACTTCTTATTTTTCCTATTGCCAACAAATCCTGTGAAAAGACTGAACCGAGAATGGATTCATCCCACGATCAAGTATTGTCTATAGGTAAAGCTCAATACGACTTAGTCGTCTGCGCAACAGAGCTAGTTGTCCAGAATTTATTAAAAACACATCAATGAGTTAAACGTTGCACAGGGTGACATGTTCCTTCATTACCATGAACACACACACACACACACACACACACAC